CTCAGAAAGATCCTGATTTTCTGATAAATATTCTGTTGTAACTTCTACAAGGTTTAAGATATGAAAAACATTTTTGAATATTTCATCGCTATCAAATCTGCGGAAACATCTGGAATATAATTTCAAATATTTGTGAAGATTTGAATTCTCAATTGCATAATTAATTAAAAATTCATGTGAATTTAAAAAATCGGTAGATGAAATTTGCATGGGTATAAGAGGAAGTACACAATAATACCCCTGAACTACATACTCTGTAAATGAATAGTGAGGAGAAAGACTTCGCAGAATTTCAAGTGTTTTTATGAATTCTAAAGCCATCTCAGATGTTATATCGACTGCTTTATAAAATAAAACTATAAATTTGAGAAGATAAACAAAATCTTCGTTATTTATAATTGAATTCACGTCATTAAAAAAGTTGAAATAATTTGATATTAGTATATCCGAACATGGAAGAGCAGTTGCATATCCTGGGTAATATTTTAATAATTTTGTAAAGAAATTTGCAATTGCATAAGTTGAATATTGATTTTCGTACTCAATAATACTAGAAAAAATTTCTTTCTTGAGTAAAACTGCGTTTTGGAAGAATTCAACGTCAAGAATATTGTTTTTAATCAAAGCAATAAATGTATCGATGATATAGAGAGAATTGTCACTGCTGCTTATGAAACGTAATATCTCATCATATTGATCGGAAAATGTTGATAAATAAAGGTATTGTATGTTATCTAAAGCTTTAAAATGAATTAATTTTAATGAAAAAATGAAAAAAATCTGGTTAATATAATGCGATAAATATTCGAATAAATTTTCCAGTAGTATCAAATCTATTTGAAAGATATTCGAAGAAGTGATATTTTGAATTGTGAATTTTAATATTGTTTCATTTTGTGTAGATTGCTCGATAATGAAATGTATCAAAAGATTCATTGAATATGAGTCAATGGAAAAGCTTAAATCCTTAGGGATATCCAAAATAAATCTTAATAAAGAAGATTCGTCTTGAAAATTAGCTTCCGAAAGTTCTATTTCAGTCGGAGCTGGAAGATTCCGATCATTTATGAATCTCGAAACGACAGAAAATTTGTATTGTTTATATTTCATTATTCGAAATGATAAACTTCAAAATCTAAAATTTATTTTTTTACAATATATTTCATCCTATTGTCAAGGCTAAATTTTTCACCGGAAGTGTATCAAAAATTGATAAGATTTACGGTGATCTAATTATGACAATTCAATGCATCTCGTGATATAACGCAGATATAAACACAACTGATATTGCATAACTAATAATTGAGTCAAATAACTAAATTATGTGTTATATTTTACACATATTTCTTCAATTTTGTAATAAATGGATGTTTAACACTAATTTTTTAAGGACTTCGACTTTAGCATCACATAAATATGTTATTTTCTATATTAAAACGTAATTTTGGTGGTCTTAGAATAGAAAAATATGCAATATTCGTGGAGATAATGAGGGTTCTTAAACATGTTCTTAAAAATAAATAAAATAATACAAATCTTTATTCAATCTTTTGATATTGTTGGTCCTCTCTTTGTGAAAATACTTAACTTCAAAGAGTATTATGTTTTACCTAGTGAGGACCTTAAGTTTGCAAAAACATAATAAAAGTAAAATAAAAAAGATCGGATTTATCACAAAACTTTGAGTATTATAGGATTTAATATATTTTCTTAGTAGATTATATGATTTAGTTTCTTAAAATCTAAAGTATTTCTTGAGGAAAATATAAATTGAAATTCAAAAAGTAAAAAAAATGTAAACAAATCAAATTTTAAATGGACCAAATGTTGATTTTTCATTCGTTTTCTCATTATCGAAAAAAATTTGGAAAGCTAAGAAGTCAATAACAAGTTATATAATACAACAAAACCACATCGGATATGTTTTCATCAAATAGTCTCCTAGATTTGTTATGAAATTAAAATATCATGATATTTTAAGGGCTTTTGATTTCAATATTAGAATTATTCAGTTATGTCGTGCTAATATCAATTGCTTTATACAATTAATCGTTTACAAGCTGCAAAAATCGAACAATAATTTGACTTTGTAAAAAAAGTGCGTCATTTTTATTCGTTATACTTACAAAATGTAAACATTACGAGAAACATTTACATTTGTAAATGTAACAAGTAAAGTTGTATCGCATAATTTGACTTTGTAAAAAAAGTGCGTCATTTTTATTCGTTATACTTACAAAATGTAAACATTACGAGAAACATTTACATTTGTAAATGTAACAAGTAAATACATCAGATTTAAATTGTAAATGTAGTTTATCTCTCTCATCTCCTTTTTAAAAGGTATTACATACATACGAACGCATGGGTCACTCAATAATTAGCGTGATAATAATTGAGGATAGACTGTAATCGTAATTTTATTTTTGGACTTATATTTCGACATTTTGAAGTCGCTTGAAAGTCTTGCAAATGATTAAATTTGGAAAATTTGACCTAAGTCTGCATTATTTTGATGACTTAAACAATTCTATAAATCTGTTTTCCTAAAAATTTAAAAAGATATAATTTCAATTTCCCTAAATTTATGTAATTCATATATCACCAAAATATTTGGACTGCATTTCGTTTGTGTGCACCTAATTAAAGTCTAAATACCAATTAATTTTGGAGTTGCATTGCTTTTAATGTAAAAATGCACGTTTAGAAAAAGATGATAACGATTAAATTACAAAATCGATAACGACGACGATTAAATTACAAAATCGATAACCTCTCAAGATTGTTGCTGGAAGTTTTGAAAATCTTCATAAAATTAGATCCCTTTACATCCCAACTAATGTTACAGCAATTGAAGACAAAGCATTCTTTGATTTACCAAAATTATACATATTGGCATATTTTGGAGAATCAAATTTTGCAAACAGAGGGCTTTTCCAAAATTGTTCGATTTTACAAAATGTCAGAGTCATTCCTTCATATCCATCAACCTTATTTGGCTCAGTAAAAGTCGTCCGAATCGCATATTTAGTAGGAATAAGCGAATTATTATGCAAATCTGTTTGTAATAAGAATAATCTGGCCTCTATATCAATTAAATTTCTTGCTCTTAGCTTAAACTAATATTTATTTTGTGATTTGAAACACATAATTGAATAATCAAATGAAATTATTTTAATAATTAAAATTATGAAATTTATGAATATTCACTAGTAAACAAATTTCGGGATATTTTTAAAAATTTTAAATTAAATTAAATTTAACATTTTTCAGACTCAAGAATATAAAATCTAAATGAAAAATTGCTAAAATACCCAATAAATGAAATATTGGATCTGAATGCGAATGTTTCGATATTTTTTTTTGAAATGAGCAATAGGATAAATCGGAACTTAATATTTCTTTATTTTATTTGTACGTGGATATTATTTTGTAATAAACAGAAATTCATCAAAAGTGACAGCTCTCAATTTTTTGACATTTGTAAATTCTAAATTGAATGAGAAAAATGAAATAATACTAAGCATAATACAATATTCTAGATTTAATTATAATTAGGAAAAAGTTAGTTTTGAGAGTACTTTTCATAGGCATATAGAATGAAATCTTCTGAAAAATAATATCACATAAACTCATATTATTTTCTAATATATAACTATTTTATATAAAAATCAAATTCAATGATCTTAAAAGCGAAGGATAAACCTCAAAATTTACGAATATAATGAGTGGGAATATAATGCTTATCTATCATAAAACCATATGAAATATCAATTTTTGCTTTACGCCTAATTTTTGACGACAATTAGCAAAAAATGTTAAATGTTAACACTCAGTCCATTTGAATATGAAAAATAAAATTGACTTTGATTAAATGTTTTTATTTATCATGCAATTCTTCTTGCGACCAAAGATTTGAATAAAAGTTCAAAAAATAAGATAGCTTAAAAAATAATATACGGTAGTGTTTACTAATAGATGAATAGTATATAAATTCTATTAAAATGGATTTGATCCAAAAAATATATAAAATTTGATCATAAATAAAATCGTTTTAAATTACTTCTTCATTTAAATTATAACAATTATTTTTGGTTTTATATTTTTTTGGATCAAATCCATTTTAATAGAATTTATATACTATTCATCTATTAGTAAACACTACCGTATATTATTTTTAAGCTATCTTATTTTTTGAACTTTTATTCAAATCTTTGGTCGCAAGAAGAATTGCATGATAAATAAAAAACATTTAATCAAAGTCAATTTTATTTTTCATATTCAAATGGACTGAGTGTTAACATTTAACATTTTTTGCTAATTGTCGTCAAAATTAGGCGTAAAGCAAAAATTGATATTTCATATGGTTTTATGATAGATAAGCATTATATTCCCACTCATTATATTCGTAAATTTTGAGGTTTATCCTTCGCTTTTAAGATCATTGAATTTGATTTTTATATAAAATAGTTATATATTAGAAAATAATATGAGTTTATGTGATATTATTTTTCAGAAGATTTTGTGCTCTTCTTCAAAATTTTATTTTTTATTAAAAAGAATCTTTACAAAATATACATTTACTTTAATTAATATTTAAAAACGTGCTCTATCAAAAGTTCCAAAAATTCAATATTTTAGCTTTTCTGAGGTGTCACTTTTGATGAATTTCTGTTTACAACAATTTGATATGTCTCTTAGCCTAAGTTAAAATATTTTTAATTTGTGAGATAATCAAAAAATCATATTTTTTTAAAAAAATATTCGTTAGGCAGAATTATTTAGAATTTTAATGATATTTAGTAAAAAACCGTTGCAATAGTAAAGTATTCAAATAACGTAAGCCATTCAAATGTTGACTATTGAATTCGATTATTTATGCAACTACTTTTTATTCAATTATATAAACCGAAAAAATGAAATATGCTCTGATTATTTATTTTAATATTATTTAATAAAAAATAAATGATTTTCTTTCAATATAAAAACATTTTATATAAATGCTGAAAAGTATTATAGCCATAAACTCTTTGCTCGGAAAGGCTGTAATAACTAATATGGCTCCTTCAGTTGAAAAGGATGCACTTATTATTAGCAGTAAGGAAGATGTTGATTATCCAACAATTTTAAGTTTGAATTTAATCAAAACAAAAGATGTTAAAAAGATAATTTGCGATTTTAATGGAACTAAAGAAGACTTTCAAAAGATTAAACCACTTTTTCAGGAGGTAGAGTCTTTGGAATTGAAGCAATATTTTTCAACAACCATAACCTCAACTATTAATGCTGATAACCTTAAATCAATTACAATTCCTGATTCAATTGAAGAATTAGAATATTATTGTTTTTCAGGTAGCTCCATTACAAATATTGATATAAAAAATGTTAAAAATGGCGGATATGGAGCTTTTTATAGATGCAAAGATCTTAAATCGATAACGGCCACAAAATTAACTTCAATTCCTGATGAATTTGCTATGGAATGTTCCTCTCTGGAAAGTGTCACTTTTGGTGATTTAACAAGTATTGGAAATCACGCTTTTATGAACTGTATTAATTTGAAAAGGATTGACATATCAAAAGTATCCTCTATAAAAAACATGGCTTTTCAACACACTGGCATTGAATCAATATCAATACCAGTTTCATGTATTTCAATTGGAGAATATGCCTTTTCCTCATCATCTTTATCTTCAATTATTTTTGCTACTGGAACTGAAAATGAACAATTATCAATTGGTGTGTATGCCTTTTCAGATACACGATTAACAAAAATCGAATTTCCATCTCATCTCACATCTATTTCAAAAGGAGCTTGTTCAAAGTGCGGTAAGCTAACAAAGATTGTTCTCTCTGACAAAATTACAACTATTCCTGAAGAATTTGCCATTTTATGTGTCAACCTTAATAGCGTTACTGCTAATGAAGCTACCATAGTTAGCACAAAAGCATTCAAATATTGCGTTAAATTAGAAAAAGTTTCATTTGGAACACTAACAAGGCTCAATTCTGAATCCTTTATGTATTGTTCAAATGTTGAAATTAGATTTAGCGAATCTGAAATAATAATTTTTGATTCGAGATGTTTAGCGTTTTGCAATAAAATATCAATATCATTTGTTCTGTCAACATGGAATTTAAATGGTGAAAGCGTATTTATGGGATGTTCTGGAATAACAGAGCTAACAATCAACACTTCATTATATTATAGATCTTTTAAAGGATGCAAAAATCTAAAATCTGTTACACTATTAGAAAATACATTATATGTATACTCAAGTTGTTTTAGGAATTGCTCAAACTTATCAGAGTTTAAATTTAGCTCAAATCTCACTAATATTGCCGATTCTGCTTTTGCAGGTACATAATTATCTGGTTCATTTGACTTCACGGATATAACTATCGGAGAGCTAGCATTTGAAAGCACACAAATTGAATCTGTGACTATAGGAAATTCAATAAGTGGACGCGCATTTTTAAATTGTACAAAGCTTAAAAAGGTCGAAATTGCATAAAACAACTTCAATACAAAAGCTTTTGTAAATTCGTCAAATTTTGAAATTGAAGTTATCGCTGCAACATCAGATATGAAAGTGGATAACAATTTATTGTATTTAATAGAAACAATAGGAGATAATACAATCAAACATTTAGTTTCTGTTCTCCCAAAGTATGATTCAAAAACAATCACAATATCTGACGTTAATGTTATCGACCGATATGCATTTATGCTGAATGAAAAATTAACTGAGGTAATTGTTGATAGTGCAAATGCAATACTTCAATCAGATGCATTTACTGAATCAATTAATATCAAGAAAGTTGAATTAAAAAATATTGGATCTAATAGCTTACCTTCAGATTTATTTGGAGACTGCCTTAATCTAAACTCAATAGAGTTGCCTGAAGGCCTTAAAAAGATCGAGCCAGGTGCATTTTATGGCTGCATGAGTCTTAAAAATATTAATATCCCTTCATCAGTGGCTGATATTGGAATAGGTGCCTTTCAATTCTGCACTAGTCTTAAATCAATTGATATATCTAATATACAGGTTATTAAAAGTGAATTATTTAAAGGTTGTCATGCTCTATCGAGTATCACATTTTCCGAAAACTTAAAAATCATTGAACATTCCGCCTTTGAAAATACAAATCTTAAAGATATCAAAATACCTGATAGTGTAAGTATAATTGAATATAATGCTTTTCAAGATTGCCGGAATTTGAAGAAAATAGAACTCGGAAAAGGAACAAAAAGCCTTGGACGTCTATTTTTGGGTTGCTATAAGTTGGAAAAAGTAATTATTTCAGCATCAGTGAATGAAATTCATGAGTGGGCTTTTAGTACACTTTCTCTTGTTGATGTAGAAATTGATTCATCGAATCCTTATTTTGAAGCTAAAGATCATGTTATCATTGATAAAGAAACAAATATTGTAATCGGATCATATGGAACACTTCCAGAAACGTTCGAAGTTCCTGAAGGTGTTATATATATAAATTCATTATTAGTTAATAAGAAACAAGAGAAAATACAAGGTAAAGAGAGACTGCAACTTAGAGTTTCTGCTGCCATTGTAAAATATCCAAAATCTTATCTAGGTAAGGAGGAATCAAACACTGAAAATATCGATATTAAACCTGACTATGAATGCTATGGCTCTGATATTCAGTTGATTTCTGATTCCGATGCAAGATCTTATGATCAGTGCGATTCAAAGATTCCAGATGAATACTATTTCAGATTCCATCGTGGAATTACTTCTCCTGAAACTGCACTTACAGTAGTTGCAGTAATACTTTTTATTGCAATTATCGTTTTAATTATAGTTATTTTCTTTATTAAGAATCAATCTTCTACTCCAAAATCCAATGAAGAGAATCCTTAATTGCACGACTAAAAATTTTTATTTTACTCAACTTCAATATTAATATAAGAGTTGATGTTTTAAAAATTCGTATTCTTGGATCAATAATTATCATAATTTTTTACAAACATATTTTTTAGTCCCAAATATCTCCAAACAATAATTCGCGATCTTTTTGTTCTTCAAGTTCCATCATCTTTGCCTTCTCTTCTGCTTCTTGCTTTGAAATTCCTCTCTTCGGGATATGGCGAGGAACAAGTGGTCTTCCAGTTTTGTATTTAATTGGCTGCTTTGCTTCTCTGAGTGTTTTCATTCTCTTTTCGTTTTCTTTTCTCTTTGTTTCGGCCTGTCTTTCTAGACGCAGTTTTTCTCTTCGTTGACTATCCTTCTCTTGAGCTTTCTTACGCACGATTTCTGGTTGAATATGCTTCAAATCTTTTATAAGCTGCTGTAATGTTTCTTCAATACGAACAAGCATTGCAGATGTATCTGTGCTACTTCCAGAATCATAACCAAGCACTTGATAGAAGGCGGCTATTTTGTCATGCAATACTTGTGCCTCTTTTTCTGAAAGCTCAGCGCCAGTTTTGAATTCTTTGTTATTAAAATATGATTCGTTCTTTTCTTGGTGTTTGCGAAGATTTTCTGATGCTTCATTAAATTTATCCGTCATTTCAGTAATATGACCATCTCTTTGATCTAGTAATTTTGCAAATTTTGCACGATATCTTTCAACTGCTTCTTCTGCGTCTTGACAATGATGTATTAGAAACATATTTTGTTCTTCAAGAGATTGGATGATTGTAAGTAGTTGTTCTGGCTTTTGAAAATACATTTCATCCTGAGAATGAGTTTTCTTCCATTCTTCTGGAGTAAGCATATTTAAAAATTGTTTGTATTCTTGGCATTCTTGCAATCTTTCGTCTTGATGAGCAATTTCATTTCGTAATCCAGAAATTTGGGCAGATATTGTTTTTATTTGTAAAGATAGCTCAATTCTTTCTTTGGCTTTATTTTCAGCTTCTTGTCTAGCCATCATTGTTTGCTTTCCATCGTTTTCTAAGAAATTGTTAAATTGAGTTCTAAAAAGGTTGATTTCTGCTTCCTTTTCTTTAAGTTGCTTTTTCTCTTCTATTTCGAGACGCTCTAGTCTCTGTAGTTCTTCTCTTTTTGTATCAATTGCAAGCTGAGCAAGGAAAATTTCCCTTTTTTGAGATATAAAATCGCGTAAACCTTCTTTTGTTCTTCCACGCTGAGGATTTAAAATAATCTTGGCTAATGCTTTTTCTTCTGCATCTGGATTAGTAACTTTTGGTTGACATTGCCGCCGTAAGTTTGCTCTTTTTGATTCTAATACACGTTGCGATAAAGGAGTCATTGAAATTTTCGCCCTTTTAAGCTCTCTCTCTTCTTTTTCTTCATCACGAATTCGAAAATAATCCGTTGTTTCAGGAACTTTAAAAGGATTATAAGCTTTAGATGTCCCTATTCGTCGATTTGTTGAATCATCTTCAAAATCATCATATTCATTGGCTGTTTCAAGAAGGGTTCCACTATTGCGCATTATGTACGTTAATTTTATTTGTAAAAAAATTGATGAAAACTGATGTCAACTTATGCAGGCCAAAGGACTCCAAACTCAGAATATAGCTTTCTTGAATGCATTGGAAGGTGATATATTGAGTTTCATCCTTGGAGGATTGTACTGTTGATTTTGCCCCAAAAAATGTAAATTGTCCGGTTTTTTTGAATCAGTAATTTAATTTTCAAATGAACAGAATTCATCAATAATAATTTCATTTTTACTAGTACTAGATAGATATACTGTACCAGAACCTTGTGAAAAAGACGGTTTTTTAAAGTAAAATCTACAATTTAATTGCTCTTTCTTGAAGATTGCTAAATTAACAAATGTATGCAAAGATTTTTTTGCTCTGTGACAGTGACTTTTTGGTTTTCACATGTGAAGAATTCAGAAGGAGAACTAATTCCTAATAAAAGCGTCACACACCATTTTGATCTTCATCTCTATGAAAATATCCTACACATAAAATTAATTTGACTTTGACAATTTGTATTTATAAACAGGGGGCGACACCATAGATAAATCTGATCTATTTTTATTTCGAAAATAAAAAGTGAGCACAATATCTAAAATATATAAAATTAATACAGAATAATTAAAAATTTATTATACAAAAGAATCATTTTCTTCGCGTGCAATCAAGAACTCTGATTTAAGAAGATTCTTGAGCTGTGATTTTCTTTTATGCATCAAAATAACAATAACAATTGAAGAGATCAAACAAACAACAATGACTGCTGCACCAACAATTATTGCAATTCCGAGTATTGTATTGTAGAATTTCTGTTTCTGAGGTGTTGGTGTTTGATCAGGAAAATCAGTTCTTTTTGGAGTCATCACTGGAGTTTCTTCAGGAGTGAAATTAGGAGTTTCTATTGGAGATGGTCTTGGTTTATTTGATTGGTAATATATACAAATTGCGTATTCAGACTGAATCTTCTTTGATGTTTTATACAAAATACAAGTTGTTTGATTAAAATCAGGAATTTCTGACACAAAATTCAAATCAAATGATTTGTAATAATTTTGACTCGAAAAAAGAAACGGAATAGGCTTTGTTGAATATATATCTTTGAACTGTTCATATAAATCTTCTCCATTTTTAATATAATGCATATTAACTATCACTTTTTGTGTCACTTTTTTGAAGAAAATTCTTGGCAAACTTTGTAAACAATAATCAACAAAAATATGTTTCGACATTACATCAAAGTTAACTTCGCTTGACGGGCTAATACAAGAAGTAATGACATTAAATTCTATATCAATCTTACAATTCTCTAAAACAAAAAGTGACACAACCGAAATTGAATTTGAATTAATTTGACATTTCGGATTTACTGTCAATTTTTGAATTTTTAGTTTTGATTGGCAATTAAACAATCCTTGGTACTTCAAATTTATATTTCCAAGAGTACTTGTTCCTGTTATTGTTACGTTTTGTGAATTAATGTTTACAAATGTCAAATTTTGATCATTTGTTTGTAAATTTATGTTTTTCGTGTTTATATTTAATTGATTTAGATTTCCTTTGTAATTCTCTAAATTCATATCCAAATCAACTTCGCCTGATATACTAATAGATATATCTGAGTTGTTCTCACTGTGAAATGTCATTTTTTGTGGTTTTGTCAAAATAAAATTGACAGAAAATTTTGGAAAAGTGACAATTTCATAAATTTTTCCATCTTCTGAATTCATAATGATTTTTTCATTGTTTATGGTTACATCCAACGGTTTGTCAAAACCGTCAAGTTCAAAATCGACATTTATTGCTGCTTTCGGAAATCCATTTGGTAAATTCGATTGTTTGGCCGTTAATTCATCAATATACAATTTTTGAAGGAGTCTGTCTGTCAAACCGCTTCCATTCAATAGAATCAAATTACCAATATAATTTGTATCATCATTTGTATCCAAATTTATGTTCTGAAGTGTTAAAATCTTCATGGAATTGCGGACTAATGAATTTGACGATAATTTAAGGTTACAAAGTTGAGGTGAAGTGATTGAGACGATAGAATTTTCAATTCCTGAGAAATCCAACTCTAAATCCGAAAAACCGTCAATGAAAATGTCAAATTTTGGTGTTTTCTTGTTCAAAACAGAGTTAAAATCTTTCGGATCAACGAGGACAAAATTTTCCGGACAATTTCCGTTGGTTACGGAATTTGATAAGCAAATCTTGTTCAAAACTTGGGTAGATGAAGGCTGAGACTTCACAGAAAGACATTTTGTTGCTTCTTCTTGGTTTTCAAAGCAACTTTTCGTGAAAGATAAATTTCCAATTTGAGCAGAGTTCTCCTGGCTGTTTATATTGAGTGTCCAGTCATCGCAATTGATTGACGAACCACAGATCAACGGAATCTCTTCTTTTTCGGGCTTAAATGTCTGATCAATTTCAATATTTAATTTTTTCTGACCTTCTTCGTATAAAGAACCTAAAACAGACAACAATGAACTGTTTGTACTCGAATACTTCATTGTAATCGGGTTCTTTCCGTTGAAAGATATGTTATTTACTGTTAATTTGGATCCATCAAGTTCTAAATCGTCAAAAGTGACTGTGGATGATCCTTTTATAATTGCGTTGCTTCCAGAATCAATGTGTAAATTTGATAATATTGTATTCATTGAAATAGGATCTAATCTGAGTTCTCCGCCATTGGAAAACACGAAATCTTCAAGTGTAACTGTCTGTTGTTCGCCAACTCCGTATATTTCTGTATATTCTCCGGTGAGAATTGGTAATTCGGAAATTTTCTGAACTTTTTCTCCGAGTTCTGCGTAAAATCGAATACTATCGTCTCTTCTATACTTAAATGGAACTGTTTGTGCGTTAATAGAAAGGTCACAGCCTTGAGATAAATCTAAAATTGGAAATGTCTTGGGAGAATAGTATTGTTGTGGAATGTTTAGTAATGCCTTTTGTGTAGTAATGATTTTTAATCTGTTTAGTAATGAAATTCCGACATTTGAAAGCCAATAAAGTGTTAATTTGAAATTTTTTGTAGTTGTGATCAAAATATCAATATCACATTTATACGCATTAATAAATAACGCGCTGTTCTGTTTTTCACTCACGAAATTAAACCCATCGTAATAAACTGTGACTTCGTAATCAGATTCGAACCTTTGGACGTTTATGACTGATGAGTACTGTTGAGGTATTGCTATTTCGACGTTTTTGTTCTGCATTTCAACGAGATAAAAATTAAAATTTTGAATTTTTCCGAATAAAACATTGCCAAGAGAAGTTGGATCGCCGCCAATTTTATTTGTATTGACAGTTACTTCGTTACGTGGTAAAATATTCGTAGAAAATACCTCAAATGCTTCTGAATTAATCGTATTTACTTTGAAATTTGCATTAATCTTCGAAAAATAAATTGATGTTGTCGTTACTTCTGAATTTGAGCCTCCTATGTATATGTTCGGATGGGAATTTGTTCCAATAAACGCAAATGCTGTTTTATTTGGATTCTCGATAGAGAAATCGAAAATTAGCTCTTGGCCAACTTTATTAATTGTATCATTGAATATATAAAACGCTAGATTTTTCTTATCTAAATAATTCTTCCAAATATCAAAATTTTCTGGTGGAAGTTCAACATATCCCTCAGGACACAACTTTAGATCTGCAGAGAAACAAAATTGTACATCATAAGAAAGGATATATCGAAAGAAAAGAAAAATCATTGATTTTGGAAGATTTTTCCTGTCAAATCCGAACTTTTTTTTCTATAAAAAAGTGACGGGTCTGAGTTTCAGATAGAAGGTTTTATTTATTATGGATTGCGTTTTTATGAAATTAAAAGGCGTTTCTTGTATATTAATCTTCTAATTAACGACAAAATAAGATTAAGGAGACCCTTGTTCACTGGGTCACATGGTATCATTAACTGATCACAAAAACAACTTCTTTGTTCAGTTGAGTATTGAAATGAATAGATTCTTATACTATAACAGATAATTGAAGACAGATTTATAGCAAAAATGTGTTTAAACTATTCATACCTGTAGTTTTATTTCTATATCTCATAGGAGCTCATGAATTTACTGTAGTTTTATTTCTTTAAGACATAATTGAGGCTTTTTTTTGCATTTCAATTTTTCCCATTTTAGCTAAGTTTTATGATTATTTGTTTTGATGAAATTCAAAAGCTATTCGCTCAAAAATGTGCATTTTTTTAATATTTTCAAATTTTATAATTCTGAAGATCAAAATTCTGAAACAACACAATTTTTAAATAGTATTCAAAATAGAAATTCATAATTTTATTGAAAAAAAACATCATAGATGATGACATTATATTTGAACATTTTTTGAATTGCATCAGAAAAAGAACAATAATAGGAATAATAAGAGATTATTATGAAGCTATATAAATTGTTTTTTTCTTTGATTCTCGAAAATATTACTATTCAAAATTCTAATATGTTTTCTAAACAAAATTATATATAAATTAGTATGAAACATTCATTTTGGATTACAGTTTTTCCGGAAAAACCGTTGAACGTTTCAAAACAAGATCCTTTCTTTTCCATGAAATTTGGCGCACTGCTGGTTTTCTGTAGCATGACATACTATTTGCTTATTAGTGAGCCAACTCTATTTACCATTATTTGCGGTGGAATCATCGATCATTACAAAATTATTTTAACAAATATGAATTATACAGATAAAGTACCGTTTAATCATTTAGTCGAAACGCGTAAAATACACGAAATATGCAATATATCTACCGAGTCTTTAATAATTAGCAACTTAAAGCTCCCATCATCGTTTTCACACAATCCTTACGGAAAAATCGACAAAAATTCTGTAATAGAATATGCCAGCCATTCTGATTCAACTTTATATCATCTTAAGAACGTATACGTCTGTCATTCTATGTTAACTTCCGATTCAAATCAAATTTTTAAATTTGATAAGCATTACGAAACAAGCTGCATATTTTGCGGCGGCTTTGGTAATGTTGTTGGTGCATATGACCACATTATCGCCGTAGGCAACGTATTTTTCCAATACGGCCACTTTTTTATAGACGTTTTAGCTCCATTAATGTTAATTCCCGAAAATATACGAGAGAAAGCATACATAGCCGTTCAGGGAATCCCTAAATACAAGATAGATATACTAGTTCATATTGGTTTCCCTAGACATCGAATTGTCAGAGCAATTGGAAGTGAATGGCTTTACGGAAGGAACGATTATACACTTGCTCCACACCCTTACTTAAGTTATGCAGGTGTAACGTTCGAAAGACTCGGAAAACTGATCAGAAAGAGCTACAAAATCGAAAAAATTGTTCCAACAAAGTATACTTTGTCAAATAGAGGCAAGAAAGAAAAAGATCAATTTCAAACTTCGATTTAGTTGTTACTGAAGTTAAAAAACTCTATCCTGAATACAATTGGCAAATTATTGGTGATAGATTTAAGAATTTCGAAGTAGTTGCCAAAGTTTACTCTGAAATCAAGTTCTTGTTTACTATCACAGGATCTAATCTCATCCGAGCCTTGTTTATGATGCCTGGATCGGTAATTGTAACTTGTCAGTTAAATATGAACGATTATAACATGCAATCACTTGCTTTAGCAAATGGAATTAAGTATTATACCTATTTCAAGCCAGAAATGGATCATTACACCAATGATCAGATCGAATTAAACTTGGCCGACACGATTCGTGCTTTTAAAGTAGCAATGTATGGGGCCGTGAACGGAACATTCCCAAAGAATTCAACTGAATATCATTATCTCGCATAAATTTGTTTGTAATAAAATAAATCGATATTATTTATCAAATTTTGTCAAGTTTTTGTGAAATTTACTATAAAATTCTTCCAGATGAGTAAAAAAGATACTTTTTAATGTATTTTTGATCAAAAATTCCAAAATACATATGGAAAATAAAACACTTCCTATTCAACTTTTTCAGGGAGAATCTATCAATTTTGTGTGGCTGAAAGTTAAGGAGACATAAACAATGAAAATGAGTTTACATTGACAATTGAAGTGAAACAAAAAAAGTGAACGTATTTATCGCATGAACATAAAAACTTCAACATTGATGGCTAAAATTATGAATTCTTCAGGAAAAAAATAATTTTTTTGAATGTATGTAATGCTTTTTTTTTGTTTGTTTGTTTGTGATTCAATACGAAGTACAGTAATTCCTATTCATTAAATATCTAATAAATAAGAAAGTCGGTAATATAACCAGTTGAATTCTTATGAAGGCCAATAGCTATCATTATATTTGCCATCAGAACACTCACACATTTTGAATATAATTCATTGATTCAAATCATCTTAAAAATAATCTCAATATAGCTAGTGTAAAAAGGTAATATAGATAAGAAAAATAAAGAAATTTTAAAGAGCGATTATATAATCGTTTGATGCTTTGGATTTTGTAAGATCCATAAGGAGATCTGCATGAAACAATGAGACTTCTTGGTATTCCAGAATCTTCAATCATTTTAAGATAAACAACAGATTTATTTTCGATATTCAGTGGACAGCGAATGGATCTGCATTCATAGAAAGCAATTTTTTGAACACTTTGAACTGATAAAGGAAAGTTAATATATTTAAGTCGCAGACAATTGTTGAATGAATATGGTTCAATAAGAGAAACACTCTGTGATTTGATACTAACATTTACTATGTTATTGCAATTATTAAATGAATATCTACAAATAACATCACAATCCACAATTAGTATTTGGTCTATAGAATTCCTCACATGATATATAAGATTCACACCTGTTTGATTTCTATAATAAAGAGTGTTATCTACACATCTGAACTTTGTTGACTGAAAATCGCTTATATGGACCAGAGAATCACATTCAGATATTGCACTTAATGAAAAACTTTCAATCGAATTTGGTGAAGCAAATATTATCTTTGAGAGTTTGTGGCAATTAATGAATGCATAATCAGATATGATTCTAACAGAAGAAGGGATACTTATGTTTTCCAATGAAAAACAATTTTCAAATGCGTTGGAACCAATCAGCTCTGCACCATCGCTAATATCAACTTCACTTAAAAGAGTACAGCCAATAAAACAATTATCAGAAATATTGTTAATATAACTTATGCTCACTAAACTAAAACAATTTTCAAACACATTATTCATAACTTCGCAATTTAATGATGGAATACTAACAGATTTCAAACTAATGCAATTTTTGAATGCAGCAAATCCTAAATATGTAAGGTCATGAGGAATTTCAACAATGGTTAATTTAGAGCAATTTAAGAATGCATAATTTTCAATAACAGAAAGACCAAATGCTATCCAAAATTCAATATCTATATCTGTTATATTTTCAAATGCCCTTGATCTGATTTTAATAATGTTATTTGGAATCAATAGTGGTTCGAGAAAATTATATCCCCAATATTCATATATCTCAGTCATATCTTGGCTTAATATTAATGAAAGAGTATCGGTTCTGAGTACAACCGTTTTTACTTTGTTTTGTATAGAATCATCACATGGACTAATTTTAATATAATTTAAGTCATTGGGGAATGGAAACAACACTGTTTCTGATGTACTTACTGTTCCATCATATAAAGAACTGGCAGAATAATCATCTATATATGAGTGATGGATAATAATTTGCCCATTAACCAAATAAAATAAAAATCCGTTTTTATTATTTCGATTATATTTGAAAATCGAAGGATTAATATCAAGATAGCTATCATATCCAAGTACTAAACCTTGAGCATCTATTTCTTGAGAATTATTTATATAATTGCATTTTTCAACTCTTCCTGCGGAAGCATAGAAATTAGTAATTCCAACAGATGAAAATAAATCTTCAAAATTACAAAAAGAAACGTTTGTCTTTGTTTCTGCATACCGATGATTAAACGCTATATGATATACACCAATACAGTTCGAAATATTCGTTTTTGAAAGAGAAAAAGAGCCTTGGATTTGATAAATCATTCCATATGTTATAGATTTTCCTCCACCATTTGAAATTGACACTTGGAGGATTGTACTGTTGACATATCCAGAAATACCAAATAAATGAGCGCTATTTGAATTTGAATTAGTTTTAAATGAACAGCATTTATCAATGGCAATGCTGCTTTCTCATCTAATGAACTTATCCTCAAAAACACAAGTGTATCTTAAATTGGAAAATTAGAATTCGTAAATGATTAAGTGTGTCCTAAAGATGATACACCACCTTCACAAAAGCACTTTTCCTTTAAAATTCACCCATAATGAAATTGTTTACAAATTGGCCTAAAAGACATTCATAAAATTGAAAACAATTTTTCAAAATGTGATCGAAAAAAATAAATTTGTTTTATTTTCAACAAAATATGCTTCAAATAAATTTGTTGATGATAGAATTCCAATCAACATCTTTGTCTTGTTTCTTGAGGAATGCGAGAGCTTTCTTGATAACAAGAGAGAACTCGGACAATCTGTCTTTATATGTCTTTCTGATGAATGCAACAGCAGCAACAGTAGAAGCAACAACATGTCCGTATTTAGCTTCAAGATCTTTATCAACTCCACTGAAATCAGTCCAAGATCCATCAACCTTTTGACTGTTGATTTGATCTTCTTGTGAATTTGATTGTTTCATGGTAATAGCTTCACAAGCATCATCACAATCTTCTCTAGGAACGGATTTCTTCTTCTTGCAAGCACTTCTTGGAACATTTGAACTTAATGAATCAAATGCCATCATTGGAGCAGCCCTTGCACAGCACATCATTCTCATACCACGGAATCCACCACCGCCATCTTTAGGCATTCCTCCGAAGCAACTTATCATTGGACGTGCTGCAAATTGTCTTTCTTCGTGTGATTGGTAATCAACACCGATATATGATGTGTATTTGCAGAGAACTCCTGAAGAAAGAGATAAATCAATGCATTTCTTCTTGATTTCTTCATCTTCTTTGATAAGTAATTGTGATTCATAATCATCAATGATATAGCGGCTGAATAATTGTCTCAATCCATGATTGTCATCAAGACGAGAAACAGGAATAACAATATCAATTTGTTCATTAATTAAACTGCCACTAATAAGAATATTATCAGTGAAATTAGATTTGGCAATGAAACTTTGTGGATTCTTTGCGAAAAGAGGAGGACATGGAGAAGGCCACATCTCTGTTTGTGTGCTTTCACTCTGTATTGTGATATCTTTTAATGCAGGAGAAATAGCGGAACTCAACATTTCAATGACCTTTTCATTCATGTTGTCATCATCACCAATTATAGAATAGTTTCCGCCACTCTTTCTCGCCATTCCTTTGATGAGACCTGGATCGGCACCTGAACCAAGACCAATGGAGAATATTCTGTTTCCTGATCTGTTCTTTTGTGCTGTTGCGCAGATCATGTCTGGATTGTGAACTTCGCCATCTGTTAAGAAGAAAATTTGTTTAACAAATCCTTCTTTTGCTTTCAATTCAGAAACATGTTGTAATGGTGATAAAATGTCTGTTCCGCCCATGTCAGCTTTGATTGTATCGAGTAATTTCATGGCACGAGCAACATTTTCATCTGTGTAATCGCATGGTTCAAGAACTGTTTGGAATTGAGAACCAAATTTAAGAATGGCGAATCTGCAGCCAACAGGAAGAGACTGGATGAACAAACGCATGCATTTAACAGCATTCTCAATACGTTTACCAGCCATTGAACCCGAACAATCGACTACAAAATAAAATTCGGAATTTGATTCAATGGAACCTTCAAAGAATGGGTATGTAGTAACAGCAATATATCCATCACTTGATACTGCAACGTTCTTGTCTTCATCTTTGATTTGAGCCTCAATAATGATCGCATCTTTTGTAGGAGCCTCGTTTGTAACAAATGTAGCGTTATGTGGATCATTTAAGTTCTTGTTTCCTTGAACTGATACCTTAACATCTTGTATTTCCTTTTGTGTTTTGATTGTTGTTGCGAAATGGAAGGTTTCTGGCTTATCTGAGTAATCATTGGTTACAGATCCTTTCTGGTATTTATGAGTAAGTGGGAATTTGTAGAAATAGCCGTTTTCGTTGAGATCTGCTAAGAATGAGACTTTGAGGTGAATTTCGGCTGTTTTTCCTGCTGGAAGGTTGCCAAGCTGGAAACTACTGAGACCATTTCCAATATCTTCACCAAGCATTGCATGATGACCTGCTTCCTTAGCTTCATCAAACTCTTTCTTCGCTTCTTCTTTGACGCGGAGCTGTGGTTTGATCTCTTTGCCATCAACAATGAACAAAGAATCATATGTGCAGAATTGAGGCTCGTTCGGGAAGAAATAAGTGATATCAGTATTTTTTCCTGTTGTATTCGTAAAAACTTGTTTAATTGTGTAAGAAAGGAATGTATCCTGCTGGATACCATCGATACTCACTGAAGAATATGTAAGTTTTTTCTCCCTGTCTGGGATAACGATTCTTCCAATCATTTGACAAAAATGAACTCACTTGAAATTTTTTTATCTTTCATTCAATTTCAAAAATTTTCAAAATTTTCTTTTGATCAAAAATTTTTCTGCCATTTCTGAAATCCATGTCTTTGAGCAAAGATGTTGATTCGAGAGCAAAAGAAACAAAATTAACAAAATCCTAATGCAATTCATCGATAATTATCCTGCTTTTATTGGAAGAATTTTCAATTTTCGAACATTTTGTCCTTAAAGTAATTTAAAATTGATAGATCTATTTGTGTTTGAGAACACACAAAAAGGTTTCAAAAGCATCTAGAAAAAATAAGATCCGAAACCAGAATTATTTGAAATCACTTGTGGATAGTAGTTCAATTGTTAAAACTTGTATCAATTTTAAATAGTATCATGATATAAGCTGTATATTTCTTATTTTACAAAAAAAAGTTGACAATTTCTAATAAATATTCTATTATTTATAATATACAAAAATATAAAATATAGTATTATTATTTTGGTCTAGATGTGAGTGATTTGCGAATAACAGTTTGAGGACGACGTGAAGATATCAAGTTAGGTGTCTTAGTTTCTACACGTGATGAAGGAAGTCGCATAGACATTGTTGTTTGTGGTCTTGCTGTTTGTGAAACACTTTCATTTCGTTGAAGTGAAAGTTTAGGAATGAGAATTGATTGGTTGTGAATTTTCGGAGGCTGCATCATTGAGATTTCTTGGTCATCATAAACACGTGTGTATCGAGCACAAACATCTTCAAGCAGTCTCGAAGAAGACTGAAGGAATTTGTCTTCAAAGAAACCTGAACAATTTCGAACACTTCGAAGTAATTCAATAGATGTGTTAACGATGTATGAATCTCCTGATGATTCAACCAATGTTCTTTCTCTGTCTAAAAAGTTTGCAAGAACAAATTCATCGGCAATCTTCTTGATAGAAATCTTGATACTTTCTCGTTTCCTCATCGCACTGATAAGCATTCGACATGCTTCTTCACGAATGACAGGACGTCCGAAAAGCCTTGTTTCATTGTGTAACATGTCTTCAACAACAAATCGAACTAAATCTGATAATGTGAGTGATTGACCTTCAATACATGCTTCGAATAAATCAAATCTGATCTTTCTTCCGCTTTCATATCGATGAGGAAGTTGGATTTCGCTGATATCTTTATCAACACAAATCATCAAGAAACTGAAATCATGCGACATAATTTGTGGAAGCAATTCATCCATGAATTGACATGATTCTCTTGCAGGTGAATTCGTTGGCATCTTCAAAGCATATAATATCATTTCTTCTGCACAATGATGGATCATGTAAATTGGATGTGGCTGTGATTTGCAGAAAGGAATTTCTTGTGAAACTAAATTCCGCAAATAATCAAACAAAGATTTAGAAAAGTCTTCCGTTTTCTCACGCCAATAGAAACACAAACATCTAAACAAATGAAGCATGGAATGACATAATCGATCAATAGAATCAACTGTTTCAGAAAACTCTGAATTCCTTGCACGAGATTTAGCTTTTAATGCTGTTGTTCCTCTTAAATCAAATCTTGTTTCATTTGAAACATCGTGATCTAAATTCTTTGAAATATCATCTGCTTCATGTAAACTTAATTCGAAAGCACGAATTAAATAATCACAACCTTCTGCAATAGGAGGTTTCGTGTTCTCGAGTTCTTGTGGGAGTTTTCCTTGTCTTATAAACAATGTAGAAGCTAAATTACGTGTACAAGTCAAACAAATATCCAATGCATCACATCTTAATTTGTTGAAACTCATTCTTTGAACGAAAACAATTCCATTTCGTTCCAATGTCTGTTTCAACATTGGAGAACTCAATGCGATTTGGATAACGAAAATAGATGAATAATCAAATGCTGATTGAAGAACACGTCCGAACTGATCTTCATTTGATTTTTCAGCCATACTCCAAATGACATCTGTGAAAACTAAACTCAAAACACCATTCATTGAATCACCACTCAAAACATCACTTGCAATACTTAAACTAAGTGATGAATCATTACGAATATCGTACGAACTGAAATGTAACAAACTAGGGCTTAATATGCAATCACGTAACAAAATATATGTTGGATCACTTGAATGTATTCTACAACATTGTAATGCATTATTAAGAAATGTAAAACAATCATTTGTACAACAAGGAAGAGGTAATAAACTTAAAACTTTTTGTGGTAAATTAAAATCAATGATCAATCGAACAATATGTGCATCATTTCCTGTTCCAAGCATCTGTATTGCTGTTCTTACTGCTGATACTTTCTGTTTCTCGATATTGAAACAAATTGCTCTTGATATTTCATTGATTTTCTGTGAAAATTCAACAAATCGATGGAAATATTGATCTGTGTGATCAATTGTTCTTTTGAGTGATCTTCCTAATGAATCAAGTAATCTTCGAACTGTTCTTCCCATCTTTGTGTGTGTGAAAACGAAGTAAGCTGCAGAATCATTTCCACACATTTCTTGTGAGAAAAATTCACAAATTTTGTCAGATGAATGTCTCAAAAACGCATTTCCTGTGTACAATCCAAACAAACTCATAGCGATTTCATCAATGAAATTAGCTAAGATGCCATGACCGTGATCAGCCAAATTAACAAATCTTTCAAAGAAATGATACAAACTTTCAAAAACTTCATCATTGTATTTAACAATTGGATTGATATCTTGAACTTCAATTCGTTTTAATGCCCTTTTAACAACGAATTGAACGAATTTGTCCATGAAATCGTATTTGAACAATGCTTTCAAAACTTCTTCAGTTGCATGTGCATCGAGTGGGAATGAGTATTGATAGTCATCATCTGTGATTTGGTCTTTGAAAACCAATGCTGAAATAATTCCAATTGTAAATGGAAATGTTTTCTCTGAAATTGTGTTCAAAACTGGACTGAAAAACTGAGAAATAAAAATGTTTGGATTTGGAGTTCTCAGATATGTATCTAATACATCAGATGTTGATTGATTTCCTGGTGACAAAGAGAATGTTTTAAGAAGTTTGTCAACAGTTGGTCTCTTTGTTGGATCAATTTGCAAACAACTTGCAATAATTGATATCAAAACTCTCGCTTCATCTGTTTTTGCTTTCGTGTTTTTGAATGGTAACAATCTATAAGAATCCAAATTTAATATTGTTGATTCTGTTTCTTCAGGATTATTCGTTTGGATGTGGCATTCTCCTTTTTCGCCAACACATTTCTCACCTTCTTTTACAATCTTGAAGTTCTGCAACCAGTTGTAAAAGAAAGGAGCGCGTTCGTAAATAGGAGGATCATCCAAAGGATTTGTGTCTTCAATGAAAACTTTGTGTTTGGAGATTGCTGAGCATTTCAACAACTCTGAACCATAAGCAGGAGGCATTTCTCCTGTTAACATGTACAACATCAATATTCCGAACTGCCAAACATCAAAAGCTTTTGTCCACAACCTTGGAGGAGTATGATAATACTCAGGAGGTAAAAATGGATTGTCATGACTCGCAAATTTCGCTGGTAAAGGCAAATAAATTGCTCTTGAACTGCCTTCATTTAATTGGCTGTCGTAGAGAGATCCAAAACTAACAGATCCTAAACTCGGATTCAACATAATATTACTGGGAACAACAGTTCTAACAATGATATTTAATTCATGGATAGAACTCAAACAAACTAATAATTTTGACAAAATTTGTTTCGCGCCTGAAATCAATCGAGAATCTCCACCCATAAATGAATGAATAGTAAGATAATGCTCTAAACTTAATGTACGAGTGTCTTCACTTATGATCATTGAATATGTATTGTTGTCTTTCAATGAACACGAGTAAATTGCTGATGTTACTTTTGGACAACTTTGTGAAAGTGAAGTGACAAATTTTTGATGAGTAGAAACAATAGGATTATCTAAGAAAGATCTTGGCAAATACAAGTTCTTGAAACACATATTCATTGCTCTATCAATTTTATATAATGTCTGTTTCGAAAATGATTCGTAAATTGATTTATGCATTGAATGATACAACAAAGGATTTCTATTTGGTTTTTGTGAAAAAGGACCAGGAATATCCAATGAATTTTGTTCATGAATCTTAAATGATTGTATTGTTGGCTGTTTCGTAATCAAAACTTGTTCGAATTCTTGATGAATCTTCTCATAAATTCTGTTCATCATCTCGTTTTTAACTGTGGCTTCTAAATGTGACATGTGCTCCAATCTTTTTTGTAAATCTTCGTGTTCCATCTTGATTAACCATGATTGACGGGTTGATAGTTCACCAGTGAATCTGTTGTCGACTTCTGATAAAGTGAATCTCGTTAAATCAGTGAATAATGAACTTAAAGCGTCTTGTGATTCAATGATTTTCTCAATCTCTTTCGTATTCAATGGAATATTGATGGAAAAGTTCCATTGCGAGGTTGTTTTCACGGGTATTTTGAGAGATGTTGACTTATCTGCAACAATTATCGGTTTTTTCATGTCAATTGGTGAAAATCTCTCAAGAAAATCAGAAAAATTGGATAAAGTTTGAGGTAAAACATCAGATCTCTTCAAAAGAATGAATGCTTCATAGATAGAAACGCATTTCGGAGGAGTTTGAGGTATAAATGAAAACAATTCTTTGAGAGAAGTCTGAAGAATCAAATCAGGCAATGAGAAAACGTTGTCTTTCTTATTAAACAACTTCATTGTCTGTCCAATTGATGCTCTATCTGCAAAACTGTTAAATCCAGCCAATCTCTTCTTGAAAACATTTCTTAATTCAGCTTTTCTTTGAAGAACTGAGTCTATTTCTGCAACGACTTCCATGTGCATCTTCTGTTTCAACTCATCTGACTCTAAATAAGTATCATAATCTTGTGCTGAGATTTGGATTTGGGAAATACCTATCCAGAATGAGTTAGAATGTCCTGTCATTGAACATGTAGTAAGAAAAACGAGTTTTTCGGAGAAAACAGTTGCACATATTTGAGTCGGACTTGAAACTAACGACAAAGAAGCAACTTCCGACAGCATTCCACGACTTTTCGTGTAATTAACTGGTCCAAGTAACTTATCAGCAAATTCCTTTTCAAATGATTCTAATTTATTTGTTGGAATTCTCAATGGAATGTCCATAGCCTTTGAAAGAAGGACTTTGACCGTTCCATCTGTTCTTGTAATGAATATTAAGTCTGGTTCTGTTGTTCCGGTGACTAATTCGATGTCAACAGGTGAATTAAAAATATAATTTGGTTTTGTCAATGTTCTTAAATCATTATAGTTATAGATATACATTTCCTTGCCACTGTGGACTGAAAGGAAGTTACCTGCTTGTGAAATAACAGGTAATGATTTGAAATTGTTGTGTTTTAAAACTTTGCAAACACTTAAATCAGGAGAAAAGACATTTATGTCCTTTGTTCCGTTAAAAGCAACTGCGAAACCAACAATCTCGTTGTTGTAGCATAGTGGTAAGAACATTCTTGTTGTTTTTAGCTGTGGATAAACAATTGTTGCGAAATCTAAGGAAATTTCGTAATTAATCTGGAAAGTCAAAGGGTCTATACAATATGTTGGTCCTTTCTGTGAAAATAAACAGATCCAAACAAAACCAAGATTGTCACAAGTGATATAATTTCTGAAATGTGGAATTTGAGTGCGAACAGGAAGTTTTAAAGTATTTTTGACTTGACTGTTTTCGATTCCTAAGAGTTCCCATTTAGAAGTGATCGCTAAAACAATGGAACTTTGTGGATGAACAAAAACATCAAAAAATGGACCTGAAATTGGCACTTTTGAGACAATTAAGTCTTCCGATGGCATAGTAGTATCAAGAGTAATGATCGATTTGCCTGTGGCTATGACGTATTCCGAGAAATTTGAAATTTGTGTAAGATGTAATGGAATTTTTGCACCAATACCTTTCGCTGTGCGTGGTATTGTAATGTAAAATGATTTTGGAACTTGTCTTGTTTGAAATTTTTGGTTTCTATCGAGTAATTGATCTCTATCGTCCATTTTAAGGCCTGCACGATACAGTAATGTCTGTAATAGCTCCTTTCTAGCCCAGGAGACATTAGCCTTTTGACTATACATGTAGTCTTCACGTTGAGATTCTGATAAACGTCGTGAATCTTTATTTTTCCATGGAGGAGGAAGCTGGACAAGTATCTTTCGTTTCATTCCTTTAGGAGCACGTGCTCTTGGAACCATTGGTTTTGATAATTTTGATAAGTCCATTGGTTCTCTTCGAACACGTGATGTTTCCTCTTTCTTTTTCTTACCTCGCTTCTTTGTTTTCTTTGGTTTTTCGTATGGGCGTGATGTTGATGGAAAATATTTTAAAATTCCGTCCATTTGGACAAGTTTTTGATATTGTTTACGAGTACGCATGATTTTGATATAATGTGATACGTATTTGTTAATTTTGTGGAGTGCTAATATCTCTTTGCAGTGTAAAACGATCTGTCTCTTGCGATATGCACGAAATGCACGTTGAATTATGAGTGCTGATTTGTTTTCGGATTCATTTTTGTATGAAATGTATCTTACAAGATAACCTCGTGTGACTTTCTGAATAATAGTCGCTGCTCTGATTGTCTCATCCGTCACAACGAGATCAAAATCACTACTCATCAATTTTTTGTTAGGTTTACATATAAAATTTTTATACGTTTATAAAATTGACCATTGATTTCACCTAGCCTTAATTAGATTTATTTACTAATTAACAAAACATAAATAAAATTGTTACCAAAAAGAAAATTAATGCATGGACGTAATGAACAAATTTTATTTTCTTTCTTTGGTAGAAATTCTAATATTATTTCCGGATTTCCTTCGCATGGACGAAATCCAATGAATGCCAAATTATTCTTAAATGACTCTGTTCCCTTTTCTGAAGTATTTGCATTGCGACATTTCAAATCAATATCAATGCTACATCGATATATATAAATCTGTCCAACATTTTCTCCATTAAATAAGTATCCTTCCTTATTCTTTAGATTATTTTGGAAAGATGAATCATAAATATCAAGTCTTTCAGAATCAACTTCGACCAATCCACAAAATCCTTGATGTTGAGAAGTATTTATATAATTGCATCGTTCAATTCTTCCTGGAGATTTCCAAAATTGGGTAATTCTAACTTCAGTTGCTTTTAAATTCTCAAAATTGCAAAATAAAGCATTTGCTGTTGATTCAACCATACTGTAAACAAAACCTGGTTTTTGTTCGGAAATACAGTTAGAAAAGTTTGTTAATGAAAGTGACCCAAAGCCATTTTTCTGGTGTATCATTGAACTTACTGAACTATTTCCTCCATTACAAATTGATCCTTGGAGGATTGTACTGTTGATTTTGCCATAAAAATATGCAAATTGACCATCTGATGGGGTTTTACTTTCAGATGAACAGAATTTGTCAATAACAATGGCAGTATTACTAGTACTGGTTATAGATATTGTACCTGGGCCTTGTGAAAAAACATTTTCATAAAGCAAAATCGAATAGTCAACAGTATGAGTGAAATTAATTGCTCTATCTTGAAGGTTGATGAATTTGCAGATGAATGCAAAGCATTTGCTGGATGTTGCTGTGACTGTTTCAACTTCACCTGTATTGACTTTGGAAGGAGGACTAATTCCTTCATAATAAAGGCGCCAAATACTATTATGATATTCATCTTTATGGAAATATCCCACAAATGCAATTAATTTGATTTCGACAATGAGCATTTTGACTCATTGCAAAAGTAAAATATAAACAGGGTGAAAACATAGGTGAATCAGATATGGAAAGAAAATTATTTGTTTATTGATTTATTTCTTTCATAATATAACTATGTGCAATTCTACTTGAAAAAGATTAAGAACAAAGATTGGCTATTGAGCATTTAATTTTTCTAAAAATGATCTAGAGCAATCAATCAATTTATTGAATTAATTTAATCGTTAATATCAGAAAATTTCGATCAGATTAATGTTTGTCTTGCTTATATCTTTATCTTTTTCAGTTAGTATATATCAACCTGGCTACTATACAGCAGAAGAATATAATTTGTTTTGTACTATTGATTTTAAACTTGAAGATTTCAAAAATTACAATTATTACCGAATTTTCTCAACTTTCAGGAATTTTTATACAGATGATGATGTTAAATTATCTGATAGTATTTACTTAATCAATAAATTACAGTACACCTTAAAAATACATGCTGCATCAAACACAAATATCTCATTTGGTATCTTTCTAATTCCTTCTACATTTAATTCTCTCGAATTTCTCATTTACCCAAGTTCAACTGCATCGTATACAATAAAAAATAATAATAATTACAGATTTCAGAAATATTATTTGTTGATTCTCAATGATGAGCCATTTAATATCAATATTTCCAAAGGTCATAAAGATTATAATCGAATTTCATACAGTAGATCAGGAAATCTTCTCAGAAATGAAACTGATCTTCGTCAAATTCCAAAAACGAAGATTTTAGCTATTGAATATTCAGTAAACACTTGTCCATGCAACACTACTTATAAAATATCCTCCGGCAAGTTTCAATTTCCTTTAAATTATTATGATTCGCGTGGTGAGCCACTCGTCTTCCTTAATAAAGTATCTATTGGACCACTTTTTGATGATACATTTTTGAAAGCAGGTTATTATCATTATAACCTTACAGATACCATCTATTTTAATGTTTCTAAGAATACAATCATCATATTCTCTAATTATCGTTATGTTCATGGTTATGCTATATTTGAACAACCGTTTGTTCAATATTCAACGGATATTCTTTACCCAACGAATAATACTGCAATTGAATTTTCATTAAAAGGTATTTTAGAGCTTATACCATATGAGGATCAAGCTTTTTGCGATTTCATGGTTTATAATTATACAACAAAAAGTTGTGACTATACATTAGTAATCTCAGGAAAACAAAGTTATCAAATTGAAAAACAAGAAATTGGTAAATTGTATTGTGTATTCTTTGCTTTTGGTAAAGGACAAATTAATATTGCTCCAAAAAATAGCATATATAATGCTGTGAATGCATCTGGAGAAGATATGTTTATTAGGCAAGTAAATGAAATGACTTATGATTTCCCTTTATTAATAATTTCAGATACATGGGATACCAAGAAGAACAAAATTACTTTCGAAACCAATACTTTTTCAGATGATCTAAATTATACTATAGATGGAATAGAGTCAAAATATAGCTTTATACAGGCAAATGGACCTACATCCACTAAAATTAATAAAAATTATAAAGTTGGAAGTGAAATAATAAAAAATAATAAATGGATAACAATTTCTGTTATTCTACTTGGATCGATCTTTGTATTCACATTAATCATAATGGGATCATACTACTATATAAGACCCTGCTTTAAACATTCAAAAGAAGGAATGGAATTGGAACTTATTGATCAAAAACCTGCTTGTCCTCCAAATATTAATGAATCTGCTTTACCAACATTTCATCCTTCTACAGAAAACAATAGCTTCATAGATCCATATTTGTAAAATTTATTTTAATATATTTGTAACGTGGGTGATTTTTCATACTACCATAAGGATCACACTTTTGAGAGTTTTACATGGCATTTGCCGGCAAATGCCATGTAAAATCTTCTCAATTATTTTCCAGGGGTTGCCGGTGTATTTATTTCAAATATTTTGGGGTAAATATGGTAGCATGAAAACTCCCTCACGTTATCTGCTTTTTTTATTTCATCTTGCTTTCCCCTAAGGAATGGTCAGAATGATGCTACGATTACCAACTTGATATTAATATCAAAATTTAAAAATTTGCAGATCCCAAAGAAAAATCTGCATTTTTTACATAATTTTTCTAAAAATGTTATATAACAGTGTGACATATGTTCTTATTGATAGAAAATTTTGTAACAATTGGAAATTGAGAACAATTCATTGAAAATTCAAATTCAGAAAATTTTCAGATCAAATTAATATTTTCTTTGCTCTTCTCTCTATTTTATTGGGTTGATGTAGATAAACCTGGCTATTATACAGCAGAAGCACCTCGTTCTGTATGTACTATTTACTTTAATCTACGAGACTACAAAAATTACAATTATTACCTTGTTTTCTCAACTTTCGGGAATTTTTATACAAATGATGATATTAAATTATCTAACCGTATTTATTTAATCAATGAATTACACAGAACTTTAAGAATTTCAACTGATTCGAACACAAAAATATCTTTTGGCATCTTTCTAATTCCTTCTGCATTTAATTCTCTCGAATTTCTCATTTACCCAAGTTCAACTGCATCGTATACAATAAAAAATAATAATAATTACAGATTTCAGAAATATTATTTGCTGATTCTCAATGATGAGCCATTTAATATCAATATTTCCAAAGGTCATAAAGATTATAATCGAATTTCATACAGTAGATCAGGAAATCTTCTCAGAAATGAAACTGATCTTCGTCAAATTCCAAAAACGAAGATTTTAGCTATTGAATATTCAGTAAACACTTGTCCATGCAACACTACTTATAAAATATCCTCCGGCAAGTTTCAATTTCCTTTAAATTATTATGATTCGCGTGGTGAGCCACTCGTCTTCCTTAATAAAGTATCTATTGGACATCTTACAGATGATACATATATATTGAAAACACATAGTTATCATTATAACATTTCAAATGTAATGAAATTTAAACTTTGTCAGAATTCAATCATTATTTTCTCTAATTATCGCGATGTTCAAGCAACTGCTATTGTTAATAATGTTTCAAAGATATTTCTTGGAACAACGACAATTATTGCATTTGAATATTTATCAACGGGTTATCTAGTTCTTACACCATATAAACCACAAGCTTTTTGTGATTTTGTGGTGTATAATTATTCAACAGATAAATGCGATTATACATTAATACTTTCAGGAAAACAAAATTATCAGATTAAAAATCAAAAAATTAATAAAACGTATTGTACATTCTTTGCTTATATGAATGGACAAACATACATTAATCCAGAAAACAGCATGTTTGATGCTATTCATCTATACGGAAAAAGTTGGCATTATGTTGTGGGAAAAGTCAATGGAATAATATATGATTATCCTTATTTGATTGTTTCATATACACGGAAAAATAAGCACAACAAAATTACTTATGAAACGGATACTATTTCAGATGATCTTATTTATACTATAGATGGAATAGAGTCAAAATATAGCTTTTTCCAGATAAGTGAACATTCAGTAAATAAAATTAATGTTAACAATAGAGTAGGGAGCAAAATAATAATAAATTATAAATGGATAACTCATGTTGTTTTTATACTTTGTGTGATGGTTGCATTCACATCAATCGTAGTAGGAATATTATACTATCTACGTTGGATCTCAAAAATTTTAACAGAAGGAATTGAATTGGAACCTTTAGATGAAATGGCTATTCCTCCAACTGTTAATGATCCCGTTTCATCAACATTTCATCTTTCTTCAGAAAATAAAGGCTTAGTAGATCCCTATGCATAAGTAAATATTTGCTTTTTTAAATTATTTACCGACGATTCAGGAATGCAGATCTTTGTAATGTTATAGATTTAGCAAAACTGCTCTTATCCGATATTTGAACTAGCTCATTCAATTAATTCTATTAGTTTTTAAAAAAGAGGGGGTAACACTAAGAAATGAATTTACCTATATTCATATCAAAATACGTTCATTTTGGATTTTGGGCGAAACTGCAATAATTAACTTCATGGATGCCTTATTGGCATTATAATGAAACCTTGGAATTAATAATCATTAATTTGATATCAAAACTAAATTGAATAATTACGTATAATAAACAGAATAATTTAATAAAACGCTTCTAAAATGACTATTTTAACACCTGATAGCAGTGGTCAACTAAAGTATATAACTACAAATGATCAAAATGTAGTTATCTCATTAAATGTTAAAACAATTTATGGAAATAATATTGGAGACTACTGTGCAAAGTCAGTTACAACAACACTTGAATCAATCACATTCCAAGAAGGATCTTTACTAACAGAAATTCAACCTTATGCTTTCTATAGTTGCACTCTTCTCACAAAAATTGACTTATCACCATGCACAAACCTCATTTCTGTACAAAGTTATGCATTTTCTAAATGTTCATCTGTTACTACACTTTTTCTTCCAGAAGGCTTACAAACAATTGAAAGCAACGCTTTTTCATACCTGAAGATCACTAATGTAATAATTCCATCTACAGTTAATAGTTTAGGCGGTGCATGTATTGCAATGATGTCATCTCTCACTCAGATCACATTTTCACCAAATTCAGTTCTGACTGAAATTCCAAAATATGCATTTCAAGGTACAGGACTCACATCATTTAATATTCCATCAAGTGTCACAAGTTTTACAGGTATCTGTTTTAGCCAATGTCGTGATATTTCTCGGATTACATGTGATTCTAATAACAAGCAATATTATGCAAATGGGCAAGCTGTTTTCAGTCTCACGGGTTTAGGAATCATCTATGTTGCATCAAACATCGGAAACAGTTACACAGTCCCAGATGGAATTAGTTATTCAGATCTCGGATGTTTCATTTCAACAAGATTGGAGACTGTGACATTTCCATCATCATTTATTTCTATTGGTGCATTATGTTTTGTTCGTGCTACAGAATTTAAAATTGTCAATATGCCCGATTCTATTAATTTCATCGGAAGTTCATCATTTCGAAGCACGACATCACTTACATCAATCAATCTACCATCATCGCTTAATCAAATCTCACAACTCCTTTTCGAAGGTTCAGGAATTACAACCATTAAAATTCCAAACAATGTGACAATAATTGGAAAACAAGCATTCAAAGACTGTATTTATTTAACAGACATATATCTTCCATCAGGTATTGAAACGATTGAAGGAGGTTTCATCGAAGGATGCAATCCAACTATTCATGCATCAGAAGACGGAAATTTCATCATTGACAGCCAAAACTTGATCACAGACAAGAGTCAAACATATATCTCAATATATGTTGGTACAGAAGAGTCATCAATCACTATTTACAGTACAGTCAAAACAATAAAAACATCTGCATTCAAAAACAAAACTAACTTGAAGACAATTACATTTGATAATTCATTTAATGTTGAAACCATTGAATCATATGCATTCTTTGGATGTTCAGGACTCACATCATTTCCTTCACTTTCTAGTGTCAAGACTATTGGTGATTATGCGTTTTCTGAAGTTTCTTTGATTGATTCATTTTCATTTGGTTCAGAGTTGACAACCATTGGAAGTTTCTCTTTTTATCGATGTTCTAAAATGAAATCTTTGGTTTTCAATTCTAAATCAAATCTCTCACATGTGGAATTGATTATGATAACAAAACTATTTTGTTCAAAGAAATGTTGATCAACTCTGGCATCAGTAAGAACTCACTTTCTAAGTGTGTAAACTTTACTTGTAAACAAGTTGGTAAATGCGTTTCATCACTAAATTATTTTGTATTTATCGTTATTCTTTTATATTAATAAACATTTATTAATAATAATAAAACTGTTTCATGTCATTCATTGAAACCTTTTATTTTATGATATAGGGTGTCCAAAGGTGCGTTTAGCACAGCGCTCTATATGAGACTATTAAAGGAGATATATGCTGATTATAAATATATAATAAAAAATATGAATATATGTATATGATGAGTATGTTGTATTTTGGCGCCATGCCGGGATATAAAATGAATTTTGAGACAAGAGGCGGTTTCGCGGGAAATTTTGGCGGGATTTTTTTCATTTTTTTAATGAATCATAAAGAAAACATCCTCGCTCTTGCAAAAAAATGCAAAGACTGTAAAAAAATCTACGAGACATTGGTAAAATGCTTCGGTATGGATGCTCCTTGCTATTCCACTGTAACGTATCATGTTAGGATGTATCACTTCATGAACAAAAAGGCGCCCATCATAAAAATTGACAAAAAATCGCCGGATCAAAGAAAAATCAAAGCAATTCTTCAAGCGCTAGATGAAGACCCAAGAGCATCACTCAGAAGGATAGAGGAGATGACAAAGATACCACGTACAACAGTCAGTTATTATCTGCACAATTATTTGAACTACAAACTAGCGTATACACGTTGGGTTCCGCACAACCTTAATTCAGTTCAAAAAAAATCTAGAGTCCAATCTTCGAAAGAGCTCCTCTCTATATTGGGTGCGTATCAATCCAAGAAGTTTCGCTTTTTAGTAACAGGGGACGAGTCTTGGTTTCAATATGCAACAGAAGCCAAAATCATGTGGATCCCGAAGGATGAAAATCCGCAAACATTCCCGAAGAAAAAAATTGACACACCAATGATTATGTTGTCGGTTTTTTGGGGCGTGAATGACATCATCGCAATTGATATTCTTCAAAAACCTAATACGATGAATGCTCAGTATCTAATTGACAATGTTCTTACTCAAATTATCAATTCTGATGAGTTTGAGAAATCCAAATAACAAAAACAAAAGTTTGCAATTCATTTTGATAATTCAAGAGTTCACAAAAGTCATAAGGTAATGAATTACTTGGTGGAAAACAATGTCAAAGTTGTTCCAAACCCAATTTATTCACCTGATATTGCACCCTCTGACTTTTATTTATTCGGCACGCTAAAAAAGAGAGCTGAAGGACGCGAATTCGCGAGTCCAGATGATCTTGAAAATTTTGTAAGAGAGCAATTTGAGCAATTTTCTCATGATGATTTAAAGCGTGTCTTTCAAGCCTGGATCGATCGCTGCGAACGCGTGATTGAATCCAATGGTGATTATATTTAAATAAACTTTATATATATGTAACTTGTTTATTTCTATTCGCAGTATTCAGGTTTGTGCTAAACACATCTTTGGACACCCTATATAATTATATTTTTACCATTAACTTATTAATAAAACAGAAATATAATACTTACCAAATTGAAAAAATTTAGGTTTTTCTTTCTTTGGTTCAAACAATACTAAATATTCAAAATCTGTTTCGCATAGAGGAAAATCATTGAATTTGAATATAATTTTAAATGAAGATTCTCCTAGTTCCGATGTATCAACTTTTCCACTATATGAAAAATTATCAATACTGCATCGACGAATATAAATCTTTTCAAAATATCCATAAAATATCACACCTTCGTTATTCCGTAGATTGTTTTGGAAAGATGAATCCAAAATCTTAAGTCTGCTATGAGAAGCAGAAACTAAGTAACCATATAGTTCTTGAGAATTATTTATGTAATTAGAACGTTCAATTGTTCCTGGGCAACCCCAGATAGCAGAAATCGTACGTTCAGTTGCTTTTAAATTCTCAAAATTGCAAAATGAAATATTAATTGTTGAGTCCAAAGTATCAAAATAAAAACTTGGCATCCATAATGAAATACAGTTAGAAACGTTAGTTTTAGAAAGTGATCCAATTCCTTCAAATTTGTGAATCATTTTAGATACTGAACTATTTCCTCCATTACAAATTGATCCTTGGATGATTGTACTGTTGATTTTGCCTTCGAAAAAAGCAAATTGGCCATCTGAAGGAGCTTGACTTTCAAATGAACAGAATTTGTCAATAATAATATCACTTTTGCTAGAACTAGATATAGATATTGTACCTGGACCTTGTGAATAAACGTTTTCGCAGAGTAAAATCGAATAGCCAACAGTATCTGTGAACTTAATTGCTCTATCACGAAGGTTACTGAATTTGCAGTTGTATGCAAAACATTTGTTTTCTGTTGGAGTGACTTGTTGATTTTCGCCTTTAATAACTGTAGAAGGAGGATTAATTCCATCATAATAAAAGCTCCAAACACTATTTATATCATCCTCTCTATGGACATATATCTTGAAAGCAATTAATTTGAGCCCGATCATGAGTTAAAAAACTCATATAAAAACCATTGAAAAAAGGGGGTAACACATGTGAATTCCCTCCCTTTTTTAAGGCCAAGATAAGTGATAATTAAGCTAACTCGAAGTAAAGTAAGTCATGTATTTTTGATCCATTTTTAATAGTAAATGATAAAATTTGAGAGCGGTAATAAGTGAAAAAACACATTGCATGTAACATAGGTGAATTCAATATTTTTTAGGATATAGTTTCAAATAAGAACAGTTTATTATTTACAATAGTAGTTAATGTAGGTGGATATTAAACCTATAAAATAGGTGCTGATAATTGACCAGATGTGCTGAAATCTTCATGTTTGTGGGATTTGCGAAGTTTGAAAACAACAAAAATAATGAAAACAATCATGATGATGCCAATCAATGAACAGATAGTAATGGATGTTGGAAGAATCCATTTAGTGTTTTGATTTGATGTGATGTTGCTGTTGTGATATGTATTTGAAGGAGATTCGAATTTAGAAGGAAAAGGAGTTCTGATAGGAGGAATTTCTGGTGTTGATGTTGGATAGACGAATTCTGTAGGAGGAGGTGTTGATGGAATATATGAAGAACTGATAAATGAAATTCTGAATGAACCTGAACTAAAACTTCGAACAATGATTGTGATGTTTGTTCCTGGTTCTAATACTTCATAGTTAGAAAGATTTGTCTCTTTGTTTCGGAATAAAAGTGATGTGAAACTGTCACTTGGTTGATTAGAAATACCTTTGATAAGATAAACATTAGAATATCCTTTGAATGAAACATCAATTCGTGGTTTGTCAATATTAGGAACTCGTGCACGAAAAACATATTTGCCTTGACCAACAAATGCACCTGAATTAGAAATATCTCTTGAATTTGTTGAACAAAGATGATCTGTCTTATCTGATGGACATTCACAGATACCTTTGTTGCATGAACAATCGGATAAACATTTTTCGGTTTCTTCAGCAAATTCAAGTTTTTCTGACATGTAATTAGAAATAGAACATGAAAATGAAACATTACCTTCGAAACGAGAACTGATAACATGAAGTTTCCATGTACCTTCATAAGTTTCACTTGTAACACTGATCTTTTTGTTTGTTGTCAAAATGGAATTTCCGAATTCTTCTTGATAAACTTTTCCTGTTGGTGATTCAATGAAAATAGATAAATCTGCAAGTAATGGATAAGCAATATCACGTGATAACAATGGATCTAACCATGAAATTGATGCTGATATGTCTCCTGTTTGACTAGAAAATTCACAATATAAATGTTGATTTCCTTTGATTAAAACACGATCTGAATATGATGATTTAATTGCACAATCTAATCGTGGAATTCCAAAACCTGTATTTAAATCTCTTTTATTTGATTTTGTTGATGAAATAATTAATGATTTAAGTAAAGAAGATGAAGGAGTAACTCCTTTTGATCGAAAATGTTCACGTAAAAGACTTGAAAATCCTGAAATAATTGGTGTTGACTCTGATGTTCCTGTGAACTGTGAAAGACTTGAAAAATCACATTTTCTTTCTGCTGTTTCTGAATTTCCATATGAAAGAGCACCTGTGATGACGCCTGGTGCTGATATGTCTGGTTTCAAGATTCCTGAATATGCTGGACCAGCACTTGCAAAATTTGCTTTTTCATATGAAAAATCACTTAATTTCATTGTGAAATTTGCAGATGAAGATTGAGAAATTAACTGGAAATCATCATCAGATAATGTTGCAAGTACTGTTTTACTCATTTTGTTGCAATCTGGTAATGATTTCAAAATTAATATTTTTGTTTGTTCATTTTCAAGGATTTGTTTGATAGAATCACATGTATTATCATTAGATGTAACATAAACAGGCTTTGCAACATTAAATAATGGTTCTTCCTTATTTAATTGATTAAATAAATTTGTTGACCAAGAAGATTGCAACAAATCAATCTTTGTACCTGATATTTCGATCTGTGGTGTTGATGCTTCTCCCATCATTTGACCTGGAGTTCCATCAGTTGCTCCAACACAAAAAATGTTTTTTCCTGAAGAAGGACTGTCAATTGTCCATGATTTTTCGCTGTTTCCGGCTGCAAAAACAAATAAAATGTCTGGGTTATTATATGCGAGGTTGTCATAGATATCTGTCATTGTAGATGTGTAATCTATTTCATTTGAACCCCAACTGTTCGAACTGATGCCAATATTGAGATCTTTCAACGACTGAACAAATTTATCTTTATCAAAGTCGTCAAAAAGCATTTTATTGTCACCTTTGGCCATATCTAGGAAATATAATTTTGATTCAGGTGCAATACCATCGTAAAGAGGTAAAATATTACCGCATTCTGATTTCCCTGCTATAATACCTGCTGTATGTGTGCCGTGGCCTGGGATATAGTCATAAAAATCTTTCCATGAATCATAATAAACGATTTTTCGTTGATTGAGGTCAAGAGTGTTATTAATTAATTGTCGTGATGAGTCATTGAGCATTGGATGCCTATAATCGATTCCTGAATCTGCCAAAGCAATAATTTCACCTTTTCCTGTAAGGTTTGTCGAACGTAATGACCATAAGTAGCCATTTTTATATGTTAAATCTAAATTCCCATTTTCCATGAATCCGGCTTCAAATCTTGTATCAAAACGGATTTGTGAAGCTTTTTCAACTGAAATCACATTGGAGTTGCTTTGAATTGAATTGATTTGGGCTTTTGAAGCGTCGTGAATGAAATAATATGTTCCATGCAGTTTTGAAAATGTGATATCTTTTGGAAATTGAAACTCTTGTGTTGTGTGGATTATATAGTTAGAAATGTCTGTGATTTGTCGGATTTCACTTGATGTTCTATCATGCATATTCGTTTTCGAAGTAAAATCTTTGTAATAACCATTGAAATATTGATTTGAATCAGGATATCTACTTTCATATCTTGATTTACGTATATCTTCCTTAGAAATTTCAAGTGAAATTGCTTCAATGAAGAAAAAACAGATGAAAAACATTTTTGTCAAACAAATTTAGAAAAAAAAAATTAAAAAATGGCCATCTTTGATCTTTTAGGGATGCTCCTTACGTTTTTGGAAGATGAACAAAACAGAAGGATTGCCATGATCCCATTCGGCTTATTAATATATTACTTTACTCGCACAAAAGCAAAATTAATAAATGCAGGTATTATTGTTACAATAATTCATAGTATATCAACAAACAAACCACCTCTAATACTTATCAAATCATTACTCCTCATGATTTTGTCTCAATCGCAAGTTAATTATCGTCCACACCGTTTAGATTCGTCAACCTTTTACTTTGAAATCAAAAGATACGTAATTATCATACCAGCTATTCTTTTCACGCATTTTGTTTATACTCCGAACACTCCATTCGATATCAAAGCGTTTGCCCTGATTATTATCCATTTTCTGAACTTAAATGCCTGCTATTTTGGCAAAGTTAGTATGGGTATCATCCTTTCAGTTGTCGATATATATCTTTTGCCAAGAGATATCTACAGAGTTATTGTTTACTCGCAAAAGCTGATGTACGAAAATGGTTTACAGGTTAGTGAATCTCTGTTTAAACTGACTGTCAAAGATATTACAAAAGCCGAAGTTGAATTAAAACCAAGATGCGCCAGATGCGGCCGTCCTGTTGACCTTGGCTCGTGCGTAACAACGTGTGGTCATTACTTACATAGAAAATGCTTAAATGGCGTTGATAGATGTCCAATGTGCGGAACAAAACCACTTTTCTTACCAAAGGAGAAATACGTCACAGCATTCGAAGACCTTCAGAGAGAAATTCTCATGTTATAGATTGTTTTTTGTTTCATAAAAATCTTTTATCTATTTTTCAAATTTAAACTTCTTTTTTACAACATATCACCAGATGAAACTAAAAACTAGCTAGTTATATGAAGGGCAATCTTGTAAAAAACACAATTCTTTATAAATATGAAAAAATAATTCAATAAGAACATAAAAGATGGTTATTGACTATTTTGGAATGACTTATGTAACATTTGGTTTAATCAAATTCATATGGAAAATCACATTAAAGGAGATTAATAAAAATTAATGAATTTTAATTTAGACAACGGCAGCCATATTAGTTAAAATCATAATGAGTTGGATGAAATAATGATTAGTAAATAGTAATTGGCCAGTTGAGAATGTGATTAATTTCAAAATATTGAAAAATATTTAAAAAACTGATAAAATTTGTTAACTGGGAAGCTAATAAAATATAGTTTAGAAGCACTTGCGGTGGACGATGGATGGGCCAGCCTCGTCGTATTCCTCCTTGGTGATAACCATCTGTGGGAATGTAGCGAGGGAAGCAAGGATGGAGCCACCGACCCAAACGGCGTACTTACGCTCTTCTGGAGCGACGATCTTGACCTTCATTGTTGGTGGAGCAAGAGCGGTGATTTCCTTGTCAAGACGTTCGGCGATGCCACTGAACATTGTTGTGCCACCAGAAAGAACGATGTTAGCGTAGAGATCCTTACGAACATCGATATCGCACTTCATGATGGAGTCGAAGAGTGTCTTGTCGATACCATCGTATTCCATACCATCGAAGTATGGCTTGAAGAGCATTTCTGGGCAGCGGAAGCGCTCATTGCCGATTGTGATGACGTTGCCATCTGGAAGTGTGTAGTTGACGTTGATGGAGGAGTCTGTAGCGGCCTTCTCCATTTCAGCATCGAAGTCGAGGGCGACATAGCAAAGCTTCTCCTTGATGTCACGAACAATTTCCTTTTCGGCTGTTGTGTTGAAAGCATTGCCACGCTCTGTGAGAAGCTTGACCATCCAGGCTGTGAGATCACGGCCAGCGAGGTTAAGTCTCATGATGGCGTGTGGAAGGGAGTAGCCTTCGTAAATTGGAACTGTGTGGGAAACACCATCACCAGCATCGAAAACGATACCTGTTGTACGGCCAGAGGAGTAGAGGGAAAGAACAGCCTGGATGCCGACATAGAAGGATGGGACGTTGAATGTGTCGAACATGAGGGAGATCATTTTCTCACGGTTAGCCTTTGGGTTGAGTGGGGCTTCTGTAAGAAGAACTGGGTGCTCTGTTGGGTCAACACGAAGTTCGTTGTAGAATGTGTGGTGCCAGATCTTTTCCATATCATCCCAGTTGTTAACGATACCGTGTTCAATTGGGTACTTGAGGATGAGGACACCAGCCTTGGAGCAAGCTTCATCACCAACGAAAACATCCTTGGCGTTGCCACCAACTAATTGTTGTTTGTACTTTGGACGGCCGACAACGGATGGGAAAACAGAGCGTGGGGCTTCATCACCAGAGAAGCCAGCCTTGCACATACCAGAGCCGTTATCGATAACGAGTGTCTGAACGTCTTCTTCAGCCATGAGAAGTAAATGTGAAGTCAATTTCAGTTCCCTCAGAAATAGGGCAAACGTGAAGTGGACTTGTGGGTTTTTCAAACGATAGAATCTCAAAAGCGTTTGCATACTAAATACAGAGTGATGATTGTCCTATTTGAAAAAATTTTGTTTAATTTTGTTCATATTATTATATTCTCCGGTTTAAACTGAGGAAAATTATGTTTTCAAAAAATTGGAAAGTTTTGAAAGGAGTGTCAAGAATTTTAGTTTTTGTTAACTAATATAGAGCATATAAAGCAAAAATTACGGCTTGAAACTTTTAAGAACGTGCGGAAAATTTATTGTCCTCTTATCAAATTTTGAAAGTTTTGGAAATTCAGAGAGAAAGATCGTTTCACAATGTCGACAGGACATTTTCATTTTATATAACAATTCTAATTTCACATTAAAATCCTTTTAAAACTAACAATAAATTTCGGTAGAAATAATTTAACAAAAATTTCAAGAAATTAGTCTAAATATTATCATCTTTACAAGTAATATAATCGCTTTGAATCAACCAAATTTTGATCAACATTTGAACAAATAAGATTTCCTTACACCATATGCATAAAATCATACTATACATATATGTTTGTCCAACCATTTCCAATTTCGACCCTAACAAGCATGAACTAATATTTAATTTTTATTTAGCGGACAATTCAAACTCTTCACATCATAAAATTATTTGAATTTCCAAATATCGCTTACAAGCTTTCTTATGTGAACGTGAATAAAGTTATTTGATGATGATTTTATGTTATTAATCATACATTTTAATATAATTTTTATTTTTTAACGAAAAGATTCTATTATAAATAAGTGATGTAATTAGAATGAAACAGAATGTTTTAAAACATGTTAATTTAAAACTAACAATTTATATTTTTAAAAAGAATGATTTGATTCAACATTTGTTACTCCAATAACAGTTTTCTTTCTTTCAGTTCCCATGAACACTCTCACTTTCTTATCCTTCTTTTCACCAGAAACAGTCACAGAAATTGATTGTTCGAACTTAATTACATTCTTTCCATTTACAACATCAGCCAATTTTTGTCTTGCATCTCCATTTGCCTGAGCAAAACCATTCCTCATCAATGCGTCAATGAAATCTGTTGCTCCTGGGAACAGTTTCATTGCATTCTTCAACATCTCGACACCAACAGTTCCTTCAGAAATGATGTTTGCTATGTCATCAGCACTTTTCAAGAAATCTAATGGTGCTTGCAATCTCGCGAACGTTTCTAATGTTGTAGCTTTAGAAACAGCTCTTGCAAGTGCTTGTTGTGCAAAGGCGCCTTTCATTTCAGCACCTCCTGTGAGATTTCTCAGTTCTGATGATACCAAAATCAAAATCATCTCTAAATGAACTTCTGCAGGCGAAATTGTTTTGAACCATGTCAAAGAAACATCCAAACCTTCTTTGGATTCGGTCAAATGTGATGGTATTTGGTCCCAAAGTAACGAAATCTCTTTGGATTCGTCTCTTTTAGACTGAGAATTGAAGAATTGCTTAAATGCATCGTAAGTAGCGAATTCATTCTTTCCTCTGAAGTCAATAATAGCATTGGCTATCTCTTCTAACCTTTCATATGTGGTTTCCGGTAAAACTGCAGCTAATTTTTTAATTTCAATTTTTAATTTTTCGAGATCGTCATCACAAACTGAGCATTGATAGCATGAACGACCTGAAGAGTGACTATATAGCGCAGAATTAAACATATTTAATTTCTGTTGCATGAGGGAATTCATTTTGTCACTTTTTGGATTTTCAATGGGCTTTTTTTGATTTACGTGTTCTGTAAGGAGCTGGATGAAAGATAACCACATGGTTGTGAAGGATTCGTTATACATTGTTTGAGCAATTTGCTCTAGGATACCTCCTGGAACCGCTCCTTTGAGTTTTCGCTCGCAATTTAATGGAATTACCTTGGAAAACAGGTTTTTAGCGGTATTTGATTTAACTTCGGTTGTGGGCCAATGGGTTGCTTGATTTGATGCATATTTAATTGCTTTTTTAAGCATAGATTCTTGTGCATCCGGAGGTTTGAAATTAATTTGAGCGTAAGCTTTAGATGCAAGAGCAACATTGTAGTCTTTGAACTCAGAATATGGTAATTTCGGAAATGCAAATATAGCTGTTAAGTCTTTGTCTTTATTTAAGGAATTAAAAATAAATCTTGAGCTGATTTGGAAATTTTCATATGAATTATTATCTTTTGACTTTTCTGATATTTCTGGTTGAAGAAGAGAATCAATATTTGACTTGGTTGCTAGATTATACTCTTTTTGTAGTGAATGACTATCGTAATTGTAAATTAACTGCTTTGTAATCATTTTTCCGATATATTTGTGACTTTCTTTAGCTCCTATTTGAATGAAAAATGGTAGTTTGATGCCTAATGAAACAAATGCAGAAGAAATCCTTGAGATAATGTTGGAACTTTGTGATAAAGTTATATTACTTTTAGAGGTAATAATGAAAAATGAAGTTTTAATGTTAAATATCATTGAAACGTTCTTTGAAGAAGATTTTATGTCGAATTTTGTACATTTTGAAATGTTTTTCGAAGAAATTTCTTTTGGAATGAATTTGACAGCATAAAATATATCATCTGTTGAGCAGTTTATGACAACTTTTGCTTTTGATTTTAAATTGATTCCTGCAATAGCCCTTTCTAGATCTGAAACAACTGTTTCACCAAGGAAACTCTCACAAAATAAAGAATTAATTTCTGATTTTTCAGCTCGTTGAAAAAACAAAGAAGTCATCAAAAAAAAAAAAGTAAACAGATACCGTTAGATATAAACCATTCCCATACAACAATGAGCACACCAAAATTTCAAAGTTGTTTGGTCTTAATAAAGTTTAAGGGTGCACACGAGAGGATCATGTAAACTTCAGAATTTAGAACCTTATTTTTAGGCATTATCTTGGCTACCTATTTAGGCTCGAAAAGCAAAAAATATCAAAAAATACAACTTGACTCCATTATGACCCTTTCATTGAGGTAGTTTTTATCCGCTAGTATTTTCCCTTTGAATCTCTTTACAATTCGAAATCAAATTCAAACCTCAGTAGAAGAAAGGAAGAATCGACTTACTACGGTTGTAATACGAATAAATACATATATTTAATTATTTTTATTTACATAATAATTGTTTGAAGCTCATATTCCATCAAATTTTTAAATAAAAACATTAAAATGTTGAAAATGTTCATATATTTTAATAGGGTTTTGGCACTTTATTGAGGAATTACTACATACATAGTCGAACTGAACTTGATATTTTGAAATTTAAATTATTTATCAAAATTAAAATTTAACTTGAAATTTATAATTATTTAGTCATATTTTGCATAATTCTAAGTAGATTTTGTAAAAAATCAAGAAAGAAAATTTTTAACGTGCTTTATTTTTTCTTTTTTATAATAATACATATTATTATATAATTAACATATTCATAATGTTTCACCCTTTCAAAAATATAATCCTCCTCCTCTTTTTTCAAAAAATTAAAATTTGAAATTTTGAGCTCAAATATTAGAGATTTTTTCAACCTTCAACGATATATGTTGTCTATATCAGACCTCCTTTCTTTTTGATACTTAACATTGTTCATAAATCTTAGCCGCTAAGGCTGTTCTGAAAATATTTTTTTTTTCGAAAAAATTCGAAAAAAATTCTTAAAATTCAAAAATCCCTTAATTCATGAGGATTTTGGGAAAAAGTTTTTACATGAACATGTGTATATTATATGAAGTATATTGATAAGGTAAAAATCAAATTTTATTGCATATTCATCGAGAAAATAAACTAACGAATCCCTCAAAATTGAGAGGGTAATCCTCCTCCTCTCAAATAAACGTACATACGGGTGCGCCCTTAAGTGTGAATTTACTTACTCTCTGACATCCTCTCAAAAAGAGGAATACAGGCGTGAATTAACGTTGAAAATATAACCTTAAACAAGAAATTTGAGAGGGTGTTAGAAACCGATTAATATATTCTTAATTTTTATCATTTACTAATAAACAGAACATAAATAAAGTATTTACCAAAAAGAAAATTTACGGATGGACACATTGAACAATTTATTGATACAAATAATACCACAAAATCTAAATTTCCTTCACAAGGACTTAAATTGATGAACTTTAAATTATTCCTAAATGAAGATTCTCCTTTATCTGATGTATCAACATTTCCAGATTGTGAATAGGAATCAATACTACATCGATGAATTATACCCAGATTTTCCTTACTTTTACCACCTCTCTAAAGCTGGGGACACCGCCTATCGTTGGGAGTAGCTATTAAATAGAACTACCAAGGGTATTTTTCGAACTGCCGGTGTAGTGGAAACATCTGACATAATAATTCATTATGCCAAGGTTTGATTCCCATTTAGCTAATATTTTTCTTTTTTGGATCATGAATTTTTTTTTGGATCACTATAAGATTTGTTTCATGTTCTAAATCTGCTGCATATGTAATCTATTTTTATTTACCTATTTTTTAAAAATCTATTGGATTGCCAAATTTGAATATATTTAAAATTATAAAAATCCAAAAACTATAAATATATGTTTTATGCATAGTGCCGATACTCAAATATCAGATTACTTAGATCCATGAATAATATCCGAATTTTTTTTCTTAAAATTAAACTTCAAAACTTCTTGCAATCTTATTCTTAATCAATTGTAAATTTTTAAAACCATTTTTTAAAATAATTTTGCGTAAATTTTATTCTCATGTTGTTTTAATCGAAAATTGATACATTTTCAAAAAAAATAATATTGACTTATGAAATTCATTTTTAAGGTGAAATAGTATTGTTTTTATTAAAGTATATGAATAATATATAAAAAATTAATGAATAATATAAGCAGATTTTTAGTTTACAAAACAAATATGAGCAATGCAATTTCAAACTTTTGCTGGCAATTTCGATATTGCTCAAGTTTGTAGTATTTGTGATACCTATAACATCGGCTTAATCAAAATTCGATTTTTCTTATGAGTTATTGAGAAGATTTGATTGCAATGAGAAGGATTTCGACGTTTTTGATAAACTAAGAGCTGAGCTTTAGGGGTTCAGTTCATTTATGGCTGTAGTTTGATGCGTAGATCTCTTTTTTATTGTAAATTCTTTCAGCATGGAGATCGAGAATGAATCTTTTGAGAACTTTATGAGTTTTTACACCCGTAAAGAGGTCCTTCGAGGAAAGATAGTCCAGACTACATGAAGATGTGGGTTAACCAAAAAAATCCGATGGTTTCCCCATATTCATGTAGATCTTCGAAAAAATGAGCACCAAAAAAGCCAAAAAAATAGGCTTTTTATTGGATTTGTACACTAGATCAATAACCTATTTAGGATCTGACACTCTTTTTAGCCAGAGATATGAGGTCCTTTCTAGGAAAACGATCTATTCATCCATAAAAAAAATGAATTATCGTTTTCCCCAGAAATTACATGGGGAGTGGTAAAAGTAAGGAAAATCTGGGTAATCTGCCCATCCTTTTCTTGAAATAATTTCCGTTCATTATTCTGTGTATTGTTTTGGAAAGTTGAATCAAAAATATCAAGTGTCTCTAATACGACAACAACAATTCCCCACTCTTCTTTATCTTGAGAATTATTTATATAATTACATTGTTCAATTATTCCTGGACATTGGTAAAACGAAGTAATAATATTTTCCTTTGCTTTTAAATTCTCAAAATTACAAAATGAAACATTAACTGTAGATTCACTTTCAACATAACCAAAACCTGGACATTGACTTGATATACAGTTAGAAAAGTTTGTATTTGAAAGAAATCCAAAGTCTTGATATTGGTAAATCATACATCGCGTTGAACTATTTCCTCCATTACAAATTGATCCCTGGAGGATTGTACTGTTAATCTTGCCAGAAAAATAACTGAATTGACCATATGAAGGGGCTAGACTTTCAAATGAACAGAATTTATCAATAATAATGGTAGTATTACTAGAATTTTTAATATATACTGTACCTGGACCTTGGGAAAAAATATTTTCAATAAGTAAAATCGAGTAATCACTTGTATTTTCGAATTTAACTGCTCTATCTTTAAGATTGACGAATTTGCAAATGTATGCAAAGCATTTGTTATCTGTTGCAGTGGCTTTTTGTTGATTTTCACCTGTAATGACTGTAGACGGAGGATCAATCGATTCATAATAAAGACGCCAAATGCTATTTGAATTATCCTTTAATATATTTAAAAAAAGTCAGGGGGTCACACCTGATTAACTATTCCCAATTTTCAGGTTCAGATTTGTATCTTATACTATTATCTACAGTTCGTTGAGACATTTTAATCACATGTTAAATCTATTTTTTGACATCTTTATAATCAAAATCCATTTTGATCCAGTCACATGATATGATTTCTTGATGTAATGACCACTAGATACAGGTAATGATACGTTGATGTTGACATCTATACCTGTAAGGAACAAAACTCCGTCAATGCATCTGGCGCCAGAAAGAACGCAAACAATCTGCTCGTCTAGTTTGAAATTGTATATCTTGAAGAGAACTTCAGCGTATCGACTCTAACCATATTTATTTTAATTTCTGTGGGGTCCTATCATATGCATATTTATTTAATAGCACCTTGTACATTATAGCTATCTATTGCTGTTTTTATCTTACTTCATTTTTTGAAGGTTTCATGTCAATTTTTTAGCCAAGTCAAATTATGTTACATTCTATATGCTTTTCACGCATGTTTGCCTTTGAAATATTCAAATGTTTTTATCTTTTACTAGTGAACAAAATAGGTGACAAATACTTTTCAAAAATAAAATTTTGACTTCTTGTCGAGTTATGTGATCCAATAAAAATCGGAATTTCCTCTTATTGTTACATGACTATGTAATTCTATACATGAATTTCTTTGATAGTATATAACTAATCAAAATAGAATTAATTAGATCAAACTTTGATATGTTATATTAATTATCAATTAAATCAATAAATAATTAATAAGATTTATTCATCAGATGGCTGCGTCTCAGTTATGTTGATAATCCAGCCATTTTCTTCGAATTTCGTCTTGACATCCTCCAGCAAGGCCGGATTAGGAACTTCGACGGTAACAACGTATCTTATATGGTTTGCATAGCAGTTTGCATTTGGAAGAGCGAATGTTCCCAGAACTTCGAACTTGAATTGGTTGAGAATTTCGAGCATCTTGATGTAATGGCCACTAGAAACTGGTAATGATACGTTGAAGTTGACTCTTCTGCCTGTAAGGAACAACGCTCTGTCAATGCATCTGGCCAACAAAGGTAATTCGATATTTCCACCAGAAAGAACGCAAACAATCTTCTCATCTGGCTTGAAATCAAATTTCTTGAAGAGTACTGCAGCGCATGGAGCAGCTCCTGCACCTTCGCAAATCATCTTCGATCTTTCTGCGAGCATGACAATAGCCCGTGATATTTCATCTTCTGTAACGACAACAAAGTCATCTACGTATTTCTCGATGTATGGGAATGTAACTTTTCCTGGATTAATAACAGCAATTCCATCTGCAAGTGGATTTCCGATGAATTTCTTGTCGCAATTTGGATCTATTGGCTGACCTTTGAGGTTCTTGTATTTCAAATATGTTGCTGGACGAACAGCTGCGTTGACAGCGATAACTCTTGCGTTTGGACGAAGAGCTTTGACAGCTGTAGCAACACCAGCGACAAGGCCACCACCACCGACAGCTACAACGACTGTGTCAACATCTGGTATCTGCTGGCAAATTTCAAGACCAATTGTACCTTGTCCAGCAATAACCTCATCGGAATCGAATGGTGGGACAAAAATCCAATCTGGATTGGATGCGAGATCTTCTTGCATCTGCTTGAAGGCTTCGTCAAATGAAAAGCCAAATTGTCTGACTTCGGCTCCATATCCCTTTGTGGCGTCGACTTTTGTAATAGGAGCAGTAAGTGGCATATATACGATGCACTTCATTCCGCAGATTTGAGCACTTAAAGCACATCCTTGAGAATGGTGACCAGCTGAGGCGCATACAATGGTAGATCCCTTTGGTAATGTACTGATTTTAGAAAGAGCGCCTCTGAATTTGAAAGCACGGCATCTTTGGAGGGTTTCAAGCTTGAAATATAAATTTGTGCCAGCTATTTTTGATAAATTTGGCATGAATTGGCATGGTTTTTCTCATGCATGCTTAGCGATACGTTCCTTGGCGGCTTTGATTGCGTCGAGATCCACACGGAGCTCAGACATAAAAAATTCTTTCAAATTTGAATCAGAGTAAAAAAGTGGAATTCAAAGGATTTTACAATATGTTCACAATTTCTATCGGCAATTTTGAATATCAAAAATAGCAAATATGGCTCATTATTTCCTTCGATTAAAATGTGTTTTATCCACCATTGCATTTCGAAGATATCTGCTATAAAGGCTATTCGACCAAATAAAGATTTTTTGTGAATTGCCACAGATGTCATATGTCAAAAATGAGATATATTCAGAAAGATATTAATAAAATCCTCTATGACTTATAAATTCTTAAGAACAGATCGAATTAAATTAGTTTTATCAATTCAATTTTGCAAAGTCTGTTAATGAAGCTTATGGCCAAGTTTCACTTTATTATAGTACTCATGTACCTCATTTTCGCAAAATATTAACTAAAAATACATAAGTTAATCTTTGAATGATTTCGTTCAATGATCACCTCTTTAAAAATATATATTGATAATAGAAAATATTGATACATATCACACAATAAAGCATATCATTTAACGACAGTGCTTGTTATTCAACCTTTAAAAAAAAATTTTATATTTATCGAAATACATGTATTTCGTTTAATTGAATCATGCACATATAAATATAGTCTAATTTCTAATAAAACAATAACTTTTAATAATAAAAGAGTTAAGTTAATAAATATCTTGCAAACAAAGGTTGAGCTGGGGCTTCTGGAGGACCAGAAACCTTTTCATGAGCTCTAGAATTAACATATTTTTCAATTTGGTTTCTAATTTCAACAGAATTAGAACCAGATTCGAATTTATTATAAGGAATTGAGGAAATCACTCTCTTTCCCCAAATTTCCCAATCTCTCAGATTAGAATATGCTTCTTTGTACTTGGGTAACATCTTTATATCATATCCAATTTTCTCTTTCTCGCTCAAAACAACTTTATATTTCTCTTGTAAATCTTTTATTTGGTCGGCCATTTTGGTAATTTCTACTGAAATATTTGTAGTTGGATATGGTAAGCATTTCTTAATTTTTTCTAATTCAACTTCAGCATTCAATGTTTTTTGTTTCATCTCATTCAATTGAGATATTTTTTCATTGACACTTTTTATAATGTATTCAATTGTTTCTTCCGAAATCGGTTTTGTTACATCGTAAAATTCTTTGAATCCGCGGCAAATTTTTGCATAAGATTCCAATAAAAGTCTGTTGTATTCATCTTTGACTTTCTCTTCCTTCTGTGCAATCAAAACATCCTTAGAAGATAATTGGAATTCAAATTGTTTTTTCATTAAAATTATGTCACTTTTGTGTCTTTCTTCTGTCAATTTTAGTTTTTGTTCAATTGTTCGCAGTTTCTGCTGTAATTGTGCAACATTTTCACCTGAAGTACCTGCAAGAGTTACTGCTCTTTCAAGTTCATCACTTAGATTCTTCGATTCGATCTTATTTTGTTCAATTTCGTTCATAAGATTTTCTTTTTCCTCATTTTGGGCAAGAATGACATTATCATATGATTTCTGGATATAAACAGTGTTTATCTTCATGTTATTATGATAAATAGAGAATATTGTCTGTAAAAACTCTGAAATATTTTCAAATTCTTGATTAATCCTTTGAACTTCTTGTTTAATTGTATTTAGAGCCTTGAGATAGTTTCTTTTGAGGTTGAATCTTTCGTTTTTCATATCTTCTTGCATTTTGTTCATTGAATCTGTTTGAGATTTCATTTCGTTGTTCTTTTGAAGTAATTTCTTGTTTAACGAGTCGATTTCTTCTTTATGGGACTGATCTTTGGCAGAATTCTCTTGTTTTAGAGCTTCAATTTGGTTTTGTAAAGAAGAAATTTCTGATTTTTGAGATTTCATGTCTTCTATGTCTTGATCAAGCTTCTTTTCCAATTCTAAGATGATATTCTTGTATTTCTTCAATGTATCAGTGTATTTCGCCTTCTGAACTTGAAGTTTATTTTCTAATTTTTTGACATAAGCGGAATCATCAGGTAATTCTGCGTCTGCACTGATATAAGATATAACATTATTGATCATGTTGGCAGCATCACGTGATTGAGGCGCCTTCTTGCATTGTTGCAATAATTTCAAAACATTTTGAAGTTTTTCATTGTTATTATCAACAGTTTGATTGATTTGTACACTTGCATCTTGTTTGGCAACATTTTCTGGTTTGGTTTGGCTTTGTTTAAGAGATTTGTTTTGATTACTTAAAAATTCTAGCATTTTCTGGGATTCTTGAGCATATCTTCTAAGAAGATTATTAGCAGTAGCAAGTTGAAGTATGAAAGTTAATCTTTCTTCTTCAGAAACAATAATATTATTTTTCATTGTGTAAATTAACTGGCCAAGATCATCAGAAATAGCAATTTCGCCTGCTACATCAACCAAATCAGTGAATTGTGATGATTCATGAGTCAGTTTTATATTGTTTTCGTTCAAAAAGTTCTGAACATTTCGACAAGAAGACTCTACAAGGTTTGTGAGTTGATCTTCTGGTACCGTTGATATAACTATTGACTCTGGATTGTTGTTATTAGCGATATCGTTGATGAATCTCATTTGTGAGTAAATAATATCAGCTAACTTTTGTTTTGATGCATCAATACTCTCTGGTTTAGTATTTTCATTATTACTCTGCATTAAAACATCAACCATTTCTTGTAATTTTCTGATTTCTGAGATATCTTTGGAATTAATTGTTTTAATTTCATCATTTTGAGCAGACGAGTTTATCTTATTAACTAAACTTGATAAATCATCTGAATTTGTTTGATTCTGAGCTTGTTTTGTTGGATTTGGAAGTTTTTGTGTTAAATTTAACAATTTGTAAACACAATTTGCGAGTTGTTCCTTTTGACTTGAAAGTGATTGCATTTGTGGTGTATATTTAGAGTATTCTTCTCCTATTTCATCGATAAATTTAATAAGTTTTTGATTTTGAGTTTTCAGTTCTTCATTTTCCATTCTAAGTTCCTCTATTTCTTTGATATTATCATCCAAGTCCTTTTCAACATCATTATGATGCTCTACAATGTTATTTAATTCTTGGACTTTTTTATCAGTGTCGTAAAATAGATCTTCGAGTTTGGCAATCTTATTCTCTTGTTTTCCAATGATTTGATCCTTTTCGGCTAACTGATTTTGAAGATAATCAACTTCTTCTTTAAGCTGAGTGATTTTTAAGACTTTTAGGGCCATTTTCTTCTTCAATTGCTCAATGGTTTCGGTTGACTCTGTTTGTATTCTTTTGATTTGCTCTTTCCAGTAACTTGAATCATCTGATCGATTTTTTTGAAGAGAAACCGGTTCTGGCTCAGCAATTTCGACAGAATTTGATGAGTTATTCGAGATTATTTGATCACTATCATCATTTACCATTTTATCAATAGGAGTATTATTAGAAATCATGCTAAAGCTTCTTTTTAGTAATGGAATGATCTCACTTCTGTTCTTTTTATCGATTGCACCTAATAAATCGTCAGTCAGGTTTTGCAATTTCGTAATTTCTTTTTCATTTAGCTGTTTTTGCTTATCCTTTTTGCTGTCAACATCGTGTATGAAATTTGAGAGGTTGACAAATTGTGGTATTGCTCGAACATCGCTAGAACCCTTATAGACAGGGCTAGCAGAGTCTTGCAACATTTGATGACCGTTTAGTGATTTTCGATGTTTCAAGAACCATGTGTATTAGCTATGAACGATTGCTTGAAACGCAATATGAAACCACTGTATATCACAGAAGCACAAGTATCATTCGATGAAACACAAAAAACTCAAAATGTTATTATAATTTCACCAGAATTCCTATTAGTTTATGATGATACAGGAAAGAAAATAGTAGAATTATATAGTTGGGTCAAACTTCGTGCAGCAAAATTGTTAGAAGACCAAGTTTTACAAATCAAATTCAAAAATAATAAAATTCAAATTGAATCTAACAATTTTGACAATGTAATTTACTTTATTTCAGATCAAATACAAAAATATTGCTCAAAAAGCGAGCAATACTCGATGAATTTTCACCCAGAAACTTATATAACGTCATTTCCTACGAGATTTTCAATACTAAACAGATTTAAATATCACATAAAAATATCCAAAATTTCATTAGATTCAAAAGTTTTTCAATATTTCGCGAATTTCTTAGATAAAAATTCCGAAACACTTGATTTCATCAAATTCCCCAAGTTGGATAAGTACATTTCTAGCTTATGCTATTGTATACCAATGATATCTCATCTATATACTATAATTATTGATTCAAAACTCCCAAAAAATATAATTCAACATATAGCAGGCGTTTTCATGCAATACACCAGTATAAAATCAATACAAATACGAGGAGAATTAACATCTGAAATATTAAATCTCTTAAAATCTATAAATCAAAAATATCAACCTCAATTTGCAAATTTAACATTTATAGATTCGAATATGATTGTTTCAAATCTTAACATACTAGAAGAACTATCAAATAGTACTAGTCTTACATCTTTTGGATTCAATAATGCACTTCATTCTGGTTCTTATCGATTCTTCTCAACAAGTCTCTTCCAACCATCAATCTTGAATAGTTTACGAAGTTTAAATATCTCAAATATGAAAGGAATCAATTTTGAACAACTTTTTCCAAAATTAAAATTTATTGAATCATTAGCATTAGAAAACGTTGATTTAGAACTAACGGATTTGTTTGATTATGCAGAAAAGTATCTTGGAAGCATTAAATATCTCAATGTTTCAAGAAATAAATGTTCTAAGCAATTTTCCGAACAAAAACTACCAAATTCATTAACAACAGTTATTTCAGACTTTATCAAGTTCAATGACTTGTGTCTTTCGTCTTATTTTTCATTTTTGATGGAAAATTGCAATTCATTTTTAAATTTATCAATAACTAATATAACTGCAACAGAAGAAGACTGGCAAAAACTATATATAGCTTTACAGAATCAGAGTTATACTAAATTAAAGTCTCTAAAATGGGATTTCAACAGTGTTGATTCGAAATTTTTCAATTTCTTGAAGAACAACAAGAATTTAACAGAAATTTCACTCAATAATTGTTTCAAAGAGAATAACCAACAGTCAATCAGTTGTTTTGTTGACTTTCTCAAAAATATTTCATTAAATTCTGTTTCTCTTTGTAATAACATTTATCTTGGAAAGAATTTCAATTCAATATTACAATCATTAAACAAGATAAATATAGAAACATTGCTGATATTGAATTGTTCCGGAATTGATGAAAATATTTTATTAAATTTTGTAGAAAACAGCAAATCACTGAAGAGGATAGAGTTTGATGGTATTAATCCAAAAGATCAAACAGTTTATTTGAAGATAATTGATACATTATTGACGAAAAATATCGATTTCATTTATCCGAATTCTGACATTTCAAAATTCAAAGAAAAAAATCCTATTGAAACGGAAATCAAATTAAAATACATGCAGATATCCAAAGAATATATAAAGCCTGTTAGTTTAACATCATTTCCTTTGTATTTTGATAAAAAGAAACCAGAAACAAAACAAAAAGAAATGAAATCAAGAAATTTGTCATTTTCTTTTTCTTCGGACAAAGATCAAGAAATATTGATGAAAACAAACGAAGAAGTGATACAAACAGAAATACCAGAAGAACCATCAACACCTAAAAAGCGAAGATTGGCTCAATTACTAAGAGATGCAAAGAAAAACAGAAAAACAAAGAAAGATAAAAAATACGAAAATTCCGAAGATTTCTTCATTTCTAGAGTTGATTCTCAAATAGAAGGTCGATTGCAAAAGAAAACAAAAGATGTACAGTCTAGAGAGATCAAGCCTGTTGTTGATCATTCGTTTGTTAAAGAACATTCATGGGAATTTCCATCAGAAAAATTTGAATTAAATTTTGATGAAAAAATTTGGGATGAATTTGAAAATGAAACATCAGTAATTGAACTATATAAAGAACTGAGCCTTGAAAAGAACACTGTTCCTCCAAGAGCAGGAAATCTTCCAAAAACTCCCAAGAAAATTTCACCATTTTAAATTTATATATATATTGTTTAATTTTTATTTAAAAATTTACTATCTATGTTTTTTAATTATATAATTTGACTTTTAAGAGTCAATCATTAACGTTCAATATGAAAATATATTCTCATCATTCAAAATTGAGATGAAATCATTGCTCTGTTTATGCATGGATCTCTAAGTATTTCGTTTATTTCATCTATTGAAGATATGTTCTGTGTTTGGTTTGGATTTTTCGATAAACATCTTCGTTTGATAAAATTGAGCTAAGACTGTAACAGATATCACTCAGAATATGGTATAAAAGATGATTTATACCATTGGGGGCATGATCAAAAGAATATTTTGATTATTGCTTTTGCAAATTTTTCGAGTTTTGCCATTTTTTATTAAAATCTTTTCTTATACAGAATGAACTATTATTTTATTTAAGAATAATCTGTTTATTATCGCTATTGTTTTACAACGTGCTAAAATTTTGTAAATTCTATTATCGAAGTTTCAAGATTCGTTTTCTTGTTATGAGATCTTTTGTGAATAGTCTCGCACGCGCAAATGAGCAATTTATTCAGGAGATCAATAAAAGGAAGCAAATACAGGCACAAAACCACAAGCGATTCATTAATTTACAAAAAGTTGCTAGATCTGCTTTGGTTTTTCATCCTAAGAGAAACCCATCTCAAACTTTATCACATAGCTCGTCTACTCCACTTAAAAGATTGGAGCCATTGAAACCATTAAAAAACGAAAACGAATCAGAGAATGTTCATAACAATCCATTCCCATATGATAATCGGCCAACATTTATGAACTACGCTTTGCCAAGGCAGCCATGTGTTGGAGCAAATCGAATTTTTAATTCAGTTGCTGCAAGGCGATTTGTCAATAGTGAGATAGAAACGTTTATTGACCAAGCAGAAAATCCAAATCCGTCACTATCTCCTCTTTACGCCCCAAGTGTCGATCCAGTTTTACATATTGGTGATTTCAATGAACTCGAAATCAACTGGAATGGTGAATAGACTCAAAATTCTATTGACAACCACTTATTTAGGGACAAAATCTTCAAAGATTTAACCAATATCTTTTCATATTTCCATTTTTATTTTGTTTAAATAATCTTCCCATGCATGTTTCTTAAATTTTCGATTTTTTAAATGAATAATGAAGGAAATTGACTGATGGTGTTACCCCCAGTCTTTTTAATAGTTTTGCAATGAGTTTTTAAAACTCATTGCAGAGCTCATATCTATTGATTTCAAGAGGTTTACTCATAGAGAAGAAGATACAAATAGTATTTGGCGTCTTTATTATGAAGGAATTGATCCTCCTTCTAACGTCTATACAGGTGAAAACCAACAAATTGATCCAACAGAGAATAAATGCATTGCATACATTTGCAAATTCATCAGCCTTCAAGATAGAGCAGTTAAATTCAATGATAGAAATGGTTACTCGATATTACTTATTGAAAACGTTTTTTCAAAAGGTCCAGGTACAGTATACATTAATAATTGTAATGATACTGTTATCACCATTGATAAATTCTGTTCATTTGAAAGTCAAACTACTTCATATGGCCAATTTACACATTTCGAAGGCAAAATCAACAGTACAATCCTCCAAGGATCAATTTGTAAAGGAGGAAATAGTTCTGTTGGTGGTATGATTTACCAGAATAAAGGTTTTGCATCACTTTCTAAAACAAACATTTCTAACTGTATATCAGCAGGTTCTACAGGTTTTAGTTATTATTATGCTGAATCAATAGTAAATGTTTCATTTTGTAATTTTGAGAATTTAAAAGCTACTCACTCAACTTTAATTAAGTTTGATGATTGTTTTGGAAGAATGGAACGATGTAATTTCATAAATAATTCTCAAAACAATGATGCTTATGGATTAATTTTTATTTCATTTAAAAGACTTGAAATTTTCGATTCATCTTTCCAAAAGAATCAACAGAATAAAGTCGGAGTTATGTTTGAAGGATATGATGAATATATTTGTTTATATCGATGTAGTATTAATGATTTTTCATATACTGGATATATTGTTCAGACATCAGAAAATGGAGAGACTTCATTTAATATTAGCTTTAATTTTATTGATATAAGCCCTTGTGAAGCAAATTTTGGTTTTGTTGTATTATTAGCACAAAAGAACGAAAAGAAAATTTGTTCTTCATATCAATCTATATATTTTCTTTTTGCAAAATATTTGACGCCTTCTTTGTTATTTAGTAAACGATAAAAAATATAAAATCTTTTGTTGTATTCAAGAAATTTGTTCCTAGTGATGAAAATCAAGATTGTGTTTTTGGTACCATTTAAATGAAAGAATTAATCTTCCTTCTACAATAATTTCAGGCGAAAACCAAAATCTCACTCCAGTAGAAAACAAACTTATCGACCTTCAAGATACGACAATTAATTTCACAGATACTGTTGACCACTCGATCTTTGTTTGCCAAAACTTTTTTTATTTATTTATTGATAAATTCTATTTATTTTAAAAGTAAAACTAGTGTTATTTCTTGAGAAAAATCCACAGTTCATTCCTCGAAGGATCAATTATTAATGGTTTTTGGAATAAAAAAAAGCTTTCAAAATATCTAACATAATAATAATTAGAAGTTGGACCGTCGAATAAGTCGTGTTAGATTTCCAAATGAAAACAAAATTTTATTATAATCTTCTGTGATGATAACAAAGTTACATAACTGGTTTCGGATTACTTTGAGATCATAAAATGGATCAAAATGATATTGAGTAGTAGCATAAACCCTAACGAAGTTTGAGCCGAATAGATTTAAGTTTCTTGAGAAATCAGTTGATCCACAGCAATGAATAATTTTGACAGAAATGGATTCAAATGAATTTTCTATAATAAATTTAACACTTGATAGAAAATATATTGTTTCTGAAAGTTTGAAATTCATTGTAATATCTTTGGAAGTGAAATCTCTTGTAATAATAAAAACAAGAATCATGGAATTTTGCAACTATATCAAGAACTTTGAAGCTCTTGGCTTCTTCACGCCCATCTGACATTAATTCAATTTTTTGATAATTGGCATGAAGAGATATTGAAAATTAACCTTAAACATCAGAATTGATGGTCATGTCATAGGGGTGTAAGTGCATCCTTAATGATTCTTTAACTAATTCTGAAACTGATTTTGTGGTTTGAATAAGTTTGATTCTTTCAATTGTAGAACAATTACAAACGATCTCTTATATCAAGTGATGAACACTTCGACGAAAATGAAATAAATTTAATTTTGATACAAGATATAAATGCATCATTTGTTCATAAATGCGAATCATGTCACACTTTTTCTCGAATTTCTGAATTTGAGTTTTGATTGAATTAGTTTACTAAATATGCCAATCAAAGTCTAGCAAAATCATTGATGAGCATAAACAAATACATGTTCCGAAAATTAGATAAACTATAGTTTATGTCATTAACTTAAGAATAAAACAGAAATAAAGTATCTACCAGAAATAAAATTTATATATGGACGAAATGAACAATTTTTCTTTTCTTTCTTTTGGTCAAATAATAATGCAAAATCAAAATTTCCTTCGCATGGGCTTATATCTATGAAAAGAAAAATAATCTTAAATGAAGATTCTCCTATTTCTGATGTAAAAACATTAGATCCAAAATCTGGATCATCAATACTACATCGATGTAAATAATAATATCCATTCCAATTTCCATCAAATAAATATCCGCCTCTATTGTTTCTGAAGTTTGAATCGAAAATATCAAGTCTATTAAAAGCAATTTGAATCAAACTTTCCGAATTTTGAACTTGAGAATTATTAATATAATTGCATAGTCCAATTTTTCCTGGACATAACCAAATATCAGAAATTATCGATTGAGATGCTTTTAAATTCTGAAAATTACAAAATGAAACATTTACTATAGATTGACTTTGAACATAAGCAAAACTCGGTTCATCTAGTGAAATACAGTTAGAAATGTTTGATTTAGAAAGTGATGTAAAACCTTGATATTGGTAAATCATATAAGGAACTGAACTATTTCCTCCATTACAAATTGATCCTTGGAGGATTGTACTGTTGATATTGCCATTGAAATGAAGAAATTGGCCATGTGAAGGAAATTGGCTTTCAAATGAACAGAATTTATCAATAATAATGGTAGTATTACTAGAATTTTTAATATATACTGTACCTGGACCTTGGGAAAAAATATTTTCAATAAGTAAAATCGAGTAATCACTTGTATTTTCGAATTTAACTGCTCTATCATGAAGGTTGACGAATTTGCAGACGTATGCAAAGCATTTGTTCTCTGCTGGAGCAACTTGTTGGTTTTTGCCTGAAATAACAACAGAAGGAGGATCAATTCCTTCATAATAAAGGGCCCAAACGGAATTTTGATCTTCGTATCTATGAACATATCTCTTAAATACAACTAATTTGATAGTGAAAACGCAGCGAAGAAATCATTACAAAAGTAAAAAAAGACTGGGGGAACACTAGAATTAATTTGAAATAAGCAACTAAGCCAAGAACTCATTACAATACGTGATATTAAAGTACAAGATTTAATTTACCATGGAACATGTACTATAGTAAACAAAGCTGTTTTTTTTTCTGTTGTTTTGGAATGTAAAATTTAGATTTGATGCGTTTGCTGAAATCTCAAATGATCTGTATATAAAGGAAATAGTAATAGAGTATCAATCATAAGCAGCCGGATTCATCTAATATGAAGTTATGACAAATGGATTTAGCGATAAATTTTGAAAATTTGCGCAATCTCGTAGTGGACTTACATCTGATATATTTTCATGTTTAAATTCTACTGAATTATATTTTTTTAATACCACTCATAATTGCTCCAGATCCCCCAGAAGTAACGATCACATTCAAAAATGAAAGATTGATTTCTAAAATAAAGGTCAAAAAATCATGACATCAAAATCATTAACAAAATATTACAACAAAGAGAGGAATTGATAATTGAATATAAATTGTCTATTATTTTCAATTCAAAAATATATTGTTAAAAGGTGACCAAACTATTTTTTGAAAGTCCGCCATAACTTTAATGGTACTATTTCAGCGTGTACAATAAATACAAAAATTCTAAGAGTGCCACATAAAATAGTACTTTAGACTTGAGTTAATGCTACCAAGCAAATGTTAAAAAGATGACTTTAGTGTTTTGATAATCAAAGATTAAAATCATTATTGTCTAAATCAATAATCATAACGACAGAAGTTAATGTTTTTTCATCAGTGCTTTAAATCCACTTTTAAAAGTATACCTCAAAAATCAAAATATCAAAAAAAATTGGCCGATAGGTTTGGCTTTAATTTTTGTCTGCTTTTATGATTTGATATGGATGTTATAATTTTAAAAGTTGAGCCAAATTCACCAATAGATTTTTGAGATTTGCAAATACTCAATAATTTTCAGCGTGTTATCTTTTATTAAAAGAACTATTTGGTTTCAGTATCATATAAATTGATATTTACTTTCTATTTGAACCTTCATTTAGCTAATGATTTAATAATACAGATTTCATCTAGTCCTTATAAGAGAATTTTGAATTTGTTATAATAAAAAAACAAACAGATATAGCTTACACTTCTATAATAAAGATACCTTTTATAGAAATCAGTATGAAATGTGTTTTGGCTTATTGGAAGCATATCAGACATAATCGCCATAATCAAAAAATCTATATACCCAATAAGTAATAAATTTGTCGATATAGATTTTCCATAAAATTAGTTTTTAGTCTGATCTTAAAATAAATTTAATTTTTTATAAAAAAAATCACATTTAAAAGTACCTTTTTAGTAGCTCGAAATCCTGTTGGTGGATTTCGGGCGTACTTCAAAATTAGCTTTTCTTCTACATATGCAAGCTATATTTTAAATATGGGGCAAATCGAATCGGCGAAAGGAGTTTAGTTACCTTTTATTGTTATTGAATAAAGCAGTAGAAGTTTTAATAAATGATATAATAATGATATAAACTATGATTATAATCTATTTAGTATGAAATGAGACAAATTTAATCACATTTGAGAAATCAAAATTGAATTCAATCAATTCATTCTCCTTTATAAGAATATATTAAAAGTTGTGTAATAAGGCCGTGAGCAATGCTTTCAATTTTTACTTCCTCCTTTTCAATTTTATACTTCCTCTTTCCTCTCTCAATTTTACTTCCCCATTTCATTTTTAATGTTGTTCGGAGAAGAGGGTGCCTGATCATGATCAGAGAAGAACCATATGAAGGGAAAACATCATAGCACGATGGATTTCCATCTCGGACTACACTTGTAAGATATTCTCAAAAAAATTTCAACCTGATATCCGATTCCTAACAATTGATAAAATATCTGAATGCATTCCCAGCCTATAATTTTGTTTCCTATCAAAACAATGCATGTATATTTAATGAATTCCCGTTTTATGCAGATTTCTTGAAAATTCAAAGAATTTTCAAGAAATTCCAGAAATTCTTCAGAGTATATGCAGTGAAAATGGTATCATTACAATGTACATTTGAGGGGATAGTTTATTATCAATAATATCCTCGTTTTGATGAAAACTCGCAAATCATGTTTAAAAAAACCACATTTTTTTCAGCTCAAAAGGCAGGTATATTGCTATTTAAGTCAATTATGCTATGGATAAACATTTATTTTGATATTTAGTCTTTAATTAAAAGTAAATTTTATTCAACAGATTTAATTCCCAAAAAGAAGGTATGCACTATGTTTCTATCGTTTCTTCGACAGCTTTTTCCTGCCTTCGACACTTTTTCCCGGGGGAATGTATGTAATATTTTCGTTTAATAAAAATATCGATTCTATCATAGGGAAATTTGGATTGAAAACTAAACTAGTGATTAATTAATACCAATTCTAATCAGCGATATTCAAATGTGATTAAAAATCTATTTAGTAACAAACAAAATACAAACAAAATTTATTAAAATTAAAAACAAAACAAAAAGCAAATTATTGATAAAATTAACAATTATAAGTTGGATCGTCGAATAAGTCGTGTTTGACTTCCAACTGCAAATTGAATAGGGTTATAGTCTTCTGTGAGGATGGCAAAGTTACATGACTGTTTTCGAATAACTTTGAAACCACAGAATGTATCAAATTGATATTTATTAGTAACATAAACTTTAATTGGATCTGATTCAAATATTGATTGAATATTTGAGAAATCTGTTGATCCACAGTAATGAACAATTTCAATTGATGTAGATCTAAATGCAAATCTACCTATTGATTCAACTGTCAACAGAATATAAATTGTCTTTGAAAGTTTACAATTACAAAATGCGAAATCTCCTATGGATATCATTTTCTTTGGAATTGTTGTAATATCATGACAACATTCTAAACTATTGGAGCCTAATCTAGTAACATTCTTAATGATTTCATTTGTTATAGAATTACAATGTGAAAATCCATATTCTTCAATGGAAACAATTCTTACTCCATCAAAATATGCAAGATTGATATCATTCATAAACATAAATGAACTTATTGTAAATGATTCATTTTTAAGTGAAAACTTTCTTAAGTTCATGCAATCTCGAAAACAACTTGAACCAAAATATTGACATGAATGACAATCAATTTCATTGAGACTCGTGCAAAAACTGAAACAGTAATCTCCAATATAGTTGATCTTATCTGGTAATGAAATAATTGTTAAATTTGTACAATGTCCAAAACAATATGAACCTAAATTTGTAACCAAATGAGGGATTGAAATCGAAATTAATGAAATACAATACATAAAGCATGAATTGCCTATTTTGGTAACTGAATTAGGAATATTAATTTCTCTTAAATTTTGACATTCATAAAATGATTCTAAGTATAATTCTGTAATTTCGTTAAAAAAAAAAAAAAAGGTAGTGGGGCTTCCAGGCGCGTTGCGCCCTCTAGCCCTGAAGATGTTTAGTATAAATGAAGTTTTTATTCGGAGGGCTTCCAGGCGCGTTGCGCCCTCTAGCCCATAAAAAATTTCTGAGGACGAGCCAGCCGTTGACTTTTTTGTATAGCACTCAAAATAGTATAACTTTGTCCGGACAAGTAAGGGTCTATCGTCGCTACAGGAAAAGTTACAGGCGTTCCAAGGAAGTATACTTTGAGAAGCCTTTTCCCCCTTATAGAATGAGATAAGACGGTTATTTTACAAAACTGACAACACTTTGACCGAGTAGTTTTTTGTGCTGAACAAAAAGTGTCATATAAACATCTGTCAAAAACCGCTTTTTAACTTCACTTAAAATGCCACGTAAGCTACGTAAGAATATACGTAAGAGGAAGAGAGCATTGAAACATCCAATAGTAAAACTGACACCACAACAACAGTTGCAACAACAAATGATGAATGACCCCACTATGTTGCAACAAATGTCAAGCAACCCTATGCTTTTAAACCGAGTTCTTGGTGCACAGAGTGGAGGTTTAAGAGCGGCACTTTTAGCGAAAATGGCAGGCTATGGTGGAGCCGCAGACGGAACAGCTTATAACCCTCAAAGTCAAATGAATTTGAGTTCACTCAAAAATCAAATAACAAATGTCAAAAAGTCAAACATAGACATACAGAAACAAATAAGTGAAAACGAAAAGAAACTAGAATATGACAGACACACAAAGAAACTCAATGAGTTAAACGTAGAGAAAAAGAAGAAAGAAGAACAACTGAAAGAACTAAGTACAGAGGAATATGCGAAAAAAGTGTCAGAAAAAGCAGCAGAAGTAGCAAAAATGGAACAAGATGTTATAAATTTGAAAAACCATACTACTCAATATAAAGTACTGAAAGATGAAGAAATAAAACAAAAAGCCCTGAAGACATATATGGATAGCGATGAGTATAAAAAAGAAGTTGAAGCAAATGTAAAGGCAGAAAAACTTTTACAGTTGCAAAACCAAACCGTACAGTATGAAAACTTAGCACAAGAAAGTAAAAATAACGACGCAGCCATGCAAAAGGCAATGAAAAGCGCAGAATATATAAAAGCTAATAATGACTGGTTAGATGCCCAAGCCAACGCTAAAGCAGCCCAACTTATAGGGTCAATAAGGACAAAAATACAAGCGGATGAAGACAGTTCAAATGAAGCTTTAATGAATGCTGACTTTAAGAACGCCTTCGAAGCTCTTCATAGTAAGGTGAAACTAGTGAACGACTTCTCATCTGGAAAGAAACTGAAGTCTGAAGGTTTCGACAAAAGAGTTAAGAGAAGTAGCACAAAATATGACGAAAATAACAGATGCAGCAACGAGACAGGCAGTTCAAAGTGCCTATGACGCCGTTAGAGCAACTGTTGTGGAAAGTCAAGAAAAGAGTTACAACAGACCAAAACAGACCTAGTAAATGCTTTCTTAAAAACGAAAAGTCAGGTAGGACATTATGCTGCAGATGGAACATATGTGCCAGCTGGTGGAACTTATATACCAGCTGGTGGAACTTATATACTAGCTAGTGGAACTTATATACCACCAAACCTCAAGAGAAGCACCTGCACCAGGACTACCTAAAACATTTACATCGTCACATGGACACAGACACAGGCATGCACCAAAACCAACACAACAACCAACAGTTCAAAATCCAACACAACAACCAACAGTTCAAAATCCAGCACAACAACAACAACCAACAGTTCAAAATCCAGCACAACAACAACAACCAGCACAGCAACCAACAGTTCAAAACCCTGCACAACAACAACCACAAACAGAGCAAGGACATAAAAGAAGTAGAGAACAAGGAAACCAAGAATTCTTAAAAATGCTAAAGGAAGATTATGGTTACCCAGCTACTCTTGACTTTAGTGACAGATATAAAGAAGCTATTAGAAAGTTCAAGGAAGGAAATACTGACCCGAACCTATTTAGCTTTATGGCTCAGCACCAAATGGGATATAATTTCAAACCTGGAAATACAAACTCGCTAAGGAATATGATTTAATAGCATATCATCCAAATGACATGACTGAATTTACTCCGAGATATTTGGTGTCAGAGCTAAATGATATTTCAACTCTCTTCATGAACGCGTAAAAAATAGAGACGGAACGAAAGAAGAAAGGTTTATGAGTCCGGATGACTTAGATGGAATTGTTAAAAACGGTCTCGGAATATATGAAATGCCAGCAGATGAGGTACAAGAAACTCCACAGGAAGAAGTTCAGATACAACCAGACATGGAAGAAATAGTTCAGCAACAACAGCTAGAAGAGCCTGAAGGAAACGAACAAGTCCCTCCTTGGAAACTAACTTCACAGAACTAGATGAAGATTTGGAACAGCCGAAAAATCTTGACCCTCAACAAGAGTATGAGGTGAATATGGAATCTTTCAAGAGTCTAAGAAAAATTCGGCTGACATGGTGAAGAATATCGAAAAATGTTTGCCGACATACAAAAGACTCCAACACCAGATGAAAATATTCAGCATAGAATGGAAGTACTGAAAGAAAATGTACGCAAATACAATAACCCTTTTTACTTACGACCATATAACGTTCAATCTTTGGCTGAACTCGGTGAAAATAAAAGGTTAAATTTCACCAAAACATATAGAAATGAAACATTGTTTAAAGTTCATTCAGAACCTAACCAATATGGAAACAAACTACTTTTGTTTCTGCAGACTATGGAACTACAATGAGATGGGGTCATAAAGCTAACCCGGATAGGTGGTTCATAAACTTACAACCACAATTCCAAGAAGTTGTAGACGCAATGGAAGTGAATGGTGAACCAGATATAGCTGGTATTTTCAGCGGGCTTTAATGCCATTGAAAGATATGAAAGATGCAGATATTTTGGACCAGTATGAAATGAACATGGCTGATGGAAATATAACACCTGACGTTCTAGAACATTTATCTCAAAGAACTACACAGAACCATAAAGATGGTATATTTGGTGAAGAGTTTAGAAGAAAGTTAGGGAGACAGAAGGAAGAGAACCTATTGTACATGACCTTGCAACGAAAGTTTACAAATGTCATAAAAACTTACTTTGCAGACAATGAACCGAGAAGGGATGAATATTTAAGAAAACTCAAATGGACAGTACCAAATGAAATGTTAGTATTGAAAAACATGTTCTTGACAAAATAAAACAACTACAGAAATAAATGACGCAAGACTGAAACATTGGGTAAAAGCTTTCCCATTCACAAAAGATATTATTGGTTAACATGGAAAGAAAACCAGAATGGCTACAAAACATATATTTGGAAACGAGCTTATTCCATATGGACAAGTCTGTTTGAAGAGCTTGAACGGAAACTCAGGAAAGAGTCATGCAAACAATACGCGAAGACTCAATACAAACTATGACAAAATCTTTCTAGGATATAGGTTACCTGAGATGGGCGACCAGAGCCCAAAGGCAAAAAGGACATGGGAAATTTACAACTACTAGGTGAACATGAGCAAAGATGCAACAACTTGAAGCAGAGGGCAAGTTACCAAAAGCGACACCAAAGAAGAAGAGAAGAGTAGAACAAAGTGAAAGTAGTGAAGAAGTAACTTCATCTAGTGAAAGTAGTGGCAATGAAGGAAAAAGAAGAGTTAAAAACTCAGCCAGGAAGAAGTAAAGCTTGGTCCACGTGGGTTCTATTATGACACATAAATCCAACTATTCTATATTTTTACCCATATGAAATGTACGCCGCTCAGAATAAACGCCAACAGTTTTGGATGCCATGAACGGAAATGTTTCCGAATGGTATAACGAATGCGACAATGCCATTAGAGGTCAGAAATAGTTCCTGGAACTTACGAATATACAACTGCTGTTTCTTATGGAAATGTAGGTGAGTTTGGTGAAGGTTCTTCAACAACAGTAGATATTGCTTGCGACAGGTTTCATATTATTTCTATTGACAACTCATTCTTATACGTGGAACAAGACATTGAAATAAACTTCTGCCAAGTTGTCTGACAAGAAAGGTTGCAATGGAATTTTCTATGTCGGATCCAATATGCTCCAGAAGTTTTCATGGGATATAAGATATATTCTAATCTGACTTAGTTCAAACAGTAACATGGGCAAACTATGAATGGTTCGCTTTGAGAACTCAGTACAACCACAAGCTAGAGAACAAACAGACCAATATGCAACTATTGAGAAAATAAGAAGACTTGACCTAACGTTCCAGGAGTTTATGTTAACCTTTCTGGTTCAGATGGAAATGCTTTACTAAAGTAAAACTGAAACTTAGAGTTCCTTGTCATCTTTCCTCATCTTCAGGTTTTTTAAGATACTTGCCAAACTGGGCAGGAAAAATTTCTATCGAACTTACTCCAAGCAAAAATAACTTAGTCATTGCACCAACACAAGACCCATTCACTTTACTGTAGCTGGAACTGGTGGAGCCAAGTTCTGTGACTTTTTGCAAAGACAAAGTTGACTTAGACTTTGGTTTCTCAAACTTCAACACTGAAGTAAACTATTATTTCAATGCTGCTGGAACTGCTTGGGACCCAGTTAAGTTCACATGCGAAAAATTTGAATGCAAGAGAATAGAAAGCAGACTTGCAGTCTATATGTTGGACCAGATATTTCAAAATGCTTTAGCTGCCAAATATATTGCAGTTCCACTTATGTTCCTATACACCAAATATCTGTCAAAGACTTTGCAGGTGAAGTTGGAAACCAAAGTGCTGACCCAGGTGCAAGAACAGATATTGCTTTAACAACTGCAATGAAACATGCAGATACTATGTTTGTACTGTTTCAGACAACTATAAATGACTATTCTTGTT